GATAAGGATCAAATGAATTTTTCTGTCCAGGCTGGCTCCAAACTGTGATCCTCAGATCTCAGCCTCCTGAGTAGCTGGGATTACAGGCATGAGCTACCAGTGGCCAGAGAAATCTTAGACTTTGGAGAAAGCTTAAATGGAGAGTTGGGATAAAACAAGACTAGTAATAACTCCTGATTCAATTGACATTTAACTAGGTATCTTGGGAATAATCCAAAAGTAAGTAAATATGCTTTCTTGGTAAATTCCCCCAGGAGGGAAATGAACCTAAAGTGCAGATTCACAGTTCTGTGAACACCTCTGCCATTGCCATTGTCCGTGTGTGTGTGTGTGTGTGTGTGAGAGAGAGAGAGAGAGAGAGAGTGTCCCTGGCTGGGCCACACAAGCTGGCTAGCTTTGGGGTACCCCATCTTAGCTCCAGACCCAATGCTAATCCACTCCCTGCCATCTTCCATCCTTCACTGGTATTGGGGAGAATTCTTCCCACACAGGACCTTCCACTCATGAAATCCCACCCAGGGGAGTCTGAGAGCCCAGCTGGTGCCGAGGAAGAGCTGCGGACAGACAGAAGCCTCCGACGTTTACCTAAGGTCGAGAGAGAGCCACCGCAGCCGGGCCCAGGGCTGAGAGGCGGCTGCGGCCACTGCTAGCTTGGTTAATTCACTCGCTGATGCTGAGCGCAGCCATGGAGGTCGTCCTGGGCTGGGAACGGACAGCAACGGCAGCCCAATTAGAGGAGGATCGAGATGCATAAAACCATCTCCCACAGGTAGATCAGGGTCCACGGACTTTGCAGATATTTAGGGAAAAGAGAGGAGAACCTTGCGGTGAGCTGAGGGCGTTTATGATTTGTGAGATGGAGAACCACTGAAATTCGTTTTCTTGCTGTGATCATTTGCCTATTTTCTATACTCAGCGGCATTTGGAGGACATTTTCTAGATTGGTTGTAGATATAACTTTGGATTCTTTCTAGATAGACCCCCCTTTTAAATGTTACCCCGAGGAATATTTCTGTCTTTGTGCATTCAGAGTGATTCTGTCCAGCCAGGAACTTTATGTGGAGTTTTCTCAATATGTCCTTAAAGCTCGTTATTTACTCTCATAGCAAGGTCTTTTCTCCTCTGAGTTTTTAAAAAGTCTGTGAAGCAGGTGACTTACTGTATTTCCCTTCGGATAAACAGCAATGTATGTTGTCACCTAACCCATCAAAAGTGTCCCCAACTCAATACAAAGACAACCTTGTCAGAAGTGAAATGGCATGCTGGCATGCTAAAGACTTGGGGTGTGTATGTGTGTGTGTGTGTGTGTGTGTGTGTGTCCTGGAGCTTGAACGCAGGGCCAGGGTGCTGTTCCTGAGCTTTTTCACTCTAGGGCTCTACCACTTGAGCCACAGCTCCACGGCTAGATTTATTTTGGTATTTAACTGGAGATAGAGAGTCTCACAGAATTTCCTGATTTGGCTGGCTTTGAACCACAATCCTCAGATCTCAGCCTCCTGAATAGCTAGGATGACAGATATAAGCCACTGGTGCCTGATGAGACCTGGTTTGTTTGTTTGTTTTTTTGCTGGATGTGGGGCCTGAACTCTGGGCCTGGGCGCTGTCCCTCAGCTCTTCAGCTCAAGGTGAGCGCTCTACCACTTGAGCCACGGTGCCACTTCCAGCTTTTTCTGCTTATGTGGTGTTGAGGAATCGAACCCAGGGCCTCATGCATGCAAGGCAAGCACTCTGCCACTGAGCCACCTTCCCAGCCCAGATCTGGTATTTTTTTTTATTGTTTCAGAAAAATGACACACACTAGCTGGACATTTACAATGGGCCACATTTTAGGGAAGCATTCTTTATACATTCTTTCATTTCTAGGCCAGCACCAATGAGATTAGGAACTCTTGATTGCATTACATTATCAGTATAATATGTGCATATGCTTAGTTATTAATACCACTATTAATGCTTAATACAGTTGTTGTACACTTAGTTTCACCTTCCCCTCACTGCCATTTTCTGTATGGCAGAATCTGTCCTTTTCTTTCATTTTACTCCATATTTGACTATACTCGTAGAGGAGTACATTCGCATACCTCTGTGGAAATGCAAAGGAGAACAGAGAAAGTGATCTGCTGCTCATTTGGTCTTACATAACAGACACAAAAAAGCAAGATGTGCACCAAAAATAACATGCAATATGTTGGGTTTTGTGAGCTGGGCCTGTCATGATCAACAGCATGTCTTCCTAATGCATCCATTTCCTGAGGACAGGATCTCATTCTTTTTGTGAGTGTGCCCATCCCTGAGCTTTTCTGCTCAAGGCTAATGCTCTACTACTTGAGCCACAGCTCCACTTCCAGTTTTCTTTTTGGTGTTTATTGGAGATGAGTCTCACAGACTTTTGTGACCCGGCTGGCTTCAAACTACAATCCTCAGATCTCAGCTTCCTGAGTAGCTGGGATGCCTGGCCTCTGAATACTTATTTCATTCTTATTCATCCATTCATGTGTTGTTGGGAACTACTACAACAAACACGGTGATGCAGGGGTCTTTCTGGTCCAGACCTTCCCCACAAGCTCTCTTCTTTTCACCTGCTTGAAAACATCTCCCTCTTCCTGTAGAAGACAGGTTCCAGTTCATCCCCTGGGAAGGAAGTCACCTGAAAACGTGGCCCGAAGCAGCCACCACACAGTCACCCCTACCCGCCTACCGGGCTTTGTGGTGCTTTCTGAGCTGAGTGATTCAGTCTTCATGGCTTAGGTTCCAATTTTGGCCCCGCTCTTTGCTTCCTATTTGACGTCAACATCCCTTCCCTATCTCCCCAAACCCTCCCATGCGTGCTCCATAGTATCCCGCAGAGATCTCCCTAGAGTTCACCCTCTTCCCACTGTCCTGCAATACAAGGCTGACATCACAGGCTGCAACACACTCACTCACACACACATCACACACACGCTCACTCACACACACATCACACACACACACACTCACACACATTCTCACACTCACACACACACACTCACACACACTCACACACACTCACACTCACACACTCACTCACTCTTTGGTGATCTCTCTGACCGAATCGTCCTCCCTCTCCCCTCCAGTGTCTGACCACAGCTCACGTCCAGCCTCAGCCTTCTTTCAATTGCTCACAGGTTCTGATTTTTAAAATGCTCTTTTCTGGGCATTCAGGGTTTCTGGAAGAAAACAAATCCTTAGCTCTGGATTCCCGAGATCTCTCCCCATTTTCCTGGCGATCGCGCACACGGAGATTCCAGCTTGGTCTCTCTGGCTTCTGGGGCAGGAAATCAGAACTTCCGGTTCCGAAGGGACGCCACTCACCGACTTCCGGTTTCCGGATTCTGGGGCGATTCACTTCCGGCGTAGGCCTCTACCAGGGGCTGCCTCAGAAGCGCTCAGTCTCCCCATCCCAGAGCTCGGGACTGGCAGAGCTGGGTGGATTGCTGATCTTTCAAAGAATCAAGAGTAGGGAAGCCAAGAAGGCTGTCTGCAAGTTGAAACAATGCGAGAGGGAACAAAAGAAGAAAAGAAAAACAGAAACAACACAAAAACAAATCCCCCAGCAGCCAGGATGGAGGCTTCTGTGTGGGGTGGCCCGGGCCAGCCTTGCCTTCCTTTCTCTCCTGTCATGCGTGTGACACACACAATCCCCAGTTTACTGACAGGAAAACTGCAGCAGAGGAGACACATCTCAGTCACCAGAGCTCAGTGATCAAGATAGACGTGAACTGCAAGTAGATCAGCTCTACCATGGAAATTTCCAACATTTTCATCAAAGTCCCTTTGCCCACTCCCCCTCACCACCACCAAAAGGGAAGGGAGCTCGAGGAGCATGAAGAGTTCTCTATGGGGATGGTGCCTCTTCCATAAAGAGACATGTAATGGCATAAAAGCTGGGGGGGGGGAGAGGGCAGGAATGGTAAGGGGAAACAAAGGAGGAGGCAACAATGCTTGATAAGAAATGTACTCATTACTTTGCTCATGTAATTGTAACCCCTCTGTATGGTATTTTCACAATAAAGAAATAGTCAAAATAAAAAGAGAATTAAAAAAAGGCCAGGCCCAGCAGCTCACACCTGTAATCCCAGCTACTCAAGAGGCTGAGATCTGAAGAGCATGGTTCAAAGCCAGCCCAGGCAGGGAAAGTCCATGAGACCCTTATCTCCAAAAAAAACCACCAGAAAGCCAAAAGTGGGGCTGTGGCTCAAGTGGTAAAGTGACAGCCTTGACTGAGAAAAGCTCAGGGACACTGCCCAGGTCCTGAGTTCAAGCACTGGTACCATTACCGACAAAGAATCCCACAAAATGAATGCACTATACCAATTTCTTGACAATGGACTGTTCTCATCTAAGTGTAACCTTGGGCAATACTGAGTGAAGGCTACCCATAACTTCTTGGTGCTGTGTTTGCAACTTTCTGTGGATCTGTATTTCAGAATCAATTGGGTTAAAAAAAAAAATTTAACCTCCAGGCACTGGTGGTTCACACCTGTCACCCTAGCTACTCAAAAGGCTGAGATCTGAGGATTGTGGTTCAAAGCCACCCTGGGCAGCAAAGTCTATGAGATTCTTATCTTCAGTAAACCACCAGAAAAACAAAGGGGCTCTGTGGACCAAGTGGTAGAGCGCTAGCTTTGAGCTGAAGATCTGAGGGACAGTGCCCAGGCCCAGAGTTCAAGCCCCATAACCGACAAAAAGAAAAGTAGCTAACTATGTTAATCAGCAATATACATACACACACACACATACACACACACACACACACACAGATGCTGGAATCCAGTAGGATGGTTCTACATGTTGAGATGTATTCTAATATGTAACTTCACACTCCCTGTAACAAAGTATTTTAGGAGCCATCCCCAAAAGGCATTTTTGTAGAGTTTCTTCTAATATAAAACAAATACTTGAAAACGGAACTGTGAGTTCCGGAAACATGAATATCATACAGATAAGGGGGTTTCAAAACAAAACAAAACATTCAGATCAGTGGCTTCCTAAACTATCTTGGTCACAAGTTCTCCTTAAAACAGGAAGCATTTTTTAGCTCATTCAGACCAGAATCAAAGACTTCTCCATGACCAACCTTGCCAGTTTCTGGACCATGAGACACGGGTATTTAAGACTGCTCCCAGGTAAGTTGAATTATGACAATGATAAGAGACAGATAATGGTAGCTGGGGACCATGTACCCAGTCTGCAAATCTTCTCAGCCTTTAACTTGATTTCTGGCTTCTCTATAAAAAACAGCAGGGATGATATTTTTTTGAGATGTTCACTCTTTTTTTTTCTTTTTTCTGTCGGTTGTGGGCCTTGAACTCTGGGCCTGGGCGCTGTCCCTCAGCGCTTCAGCTCAAGATGAGTGCTCTACCACCTGAGCCACAACACCACTTCTGGTTTTCTGGTGGTTCATTGGAGATGAGTCTCATGGGGACTTTCCTGCCCGGAAGTCTTTGAACCGTGATACTCAGATCTCAGCCTCCTGAGTAGCTAGGATCACAAGTGTGAGCCACAGGTGCTGGGCAGATGTTCATTCTCTTATGTTAAGTTCTCCAACAAGAAAGTCATTTTTTTCCAGTATCTATGGTCATCTTGCTGATGACATATGCTGGAATTCCTCAAGGTGTGTCAAGATGTCGAGCCAGACAGAAGCTGATACTTGACCTCTAATACTCTAACCCAAAAGCCATCTGAAGGCAGATGCCAGTGGCTCACGCCTGACATTCCAACTATTCTGGAGGCTGATTACTGAGGATCGTGGTTCAAACCCAACCCAGGTGGGAAAGTCCATGAGACTCTTTTATCTCCAACTGGCCAACAAAAATCCAGAAATGGAGCTGTGGTTCAAGTGGTAGAGCACCAGCCTTGAGTGGAAAAGTTCAAGTGGAAGTGAGAGGCTCTGAGTTCAAATCCTAGCACTAGCATAAAAAATGTACTTTGAAATATTGATGGGCTGGGAAGGTGGCTCAGTGGTAGAGTGCCTGCCTTGCATGTATGAGGCCCTGGGTTCAATTCTTCAGCACCACATAAGCAGGAAAAAAAAGCCGGAAGTGGCGCTGTGGCTCAAGTGGTAGCGCGCTAGCCTTGAGCTGAAGAGCTGAGGGACAGCGCCTCAGTGGCCCAGAGTTCACGCCAGAACCAACCAAAAACAGTTTTTTTTAATGAAGTATTGATATGCATTGTGCTCTGGGGGAAAAAAAATCTCATCAATATGCAGCGAATTCTGATTAGCGTTCATTTCCTTTAATAGTGAGAATAATAATTTCATAATGAGGAGACTGTCAGTAGTTGAGGCATCTATCTTAGGCCCTTGTCTCTTTGGCTGTAACTTGTTTCTTGGTATTTATGAATATATTTGGTTTTTATGAATATAACTTGGTATAAATATAACTTCCTGTCTGATGTGTATATTATGAATATAACTTGGTATTTATGAATATAACTTCCTATCTGATGTGTAAAACATGACTTTTTTTCCAAAGCTGGGAACACTTTGAACAGCACTGAATAGTGTAGAAAAAAAAATTTTATTGGTCCTGGGGCCTGAACTCTGGGTCTGGGCGCTGTCTCTCAGCTTTTCAGCTCAAGGCTGGTGCTCCACCACTCAAACCGAGCCACTTCAGGTTTTCTGAGTGGTGTATTGGACATAAGAGTCTCATGGACTTTTCTGCCCAGCCTGGCTTTGAACCTTGATCCTCAGATCTCAGCCTCCTGAGTAGCCTCCTGAGTAGCTAGGATTAAAGGCCTGAGCCACCAGCTTCAGGTTTTAAATAGTGTAAAAATGTAAAACAAATTCAGTGCTGTCAACTTCTCCAAGAGGGGTGTGTGTGTGTGTGTGTGTGTGTGTGTGTGTGTGTGTGTGTGTTTGCTTTAGTTTGCTGTTGAGACAGCTCAAGCAATCCTTGTGGCTCAGCCTCCCAAACAGCAGGGACTAGAGGCACACCCTGCCACACCCAACTAGGGCACATGCTAAGTGTGTGTGCGCACCGTACACAAGGGACAAAGGAACTTGACTGTACATGTGGACATAGACATTGGAATTCACTTTTTCCTGTAACTCAGCCACCATCCCAGAGAGCCAAATGGTATGGAGAGCAATGGTAGAATCTGGGCCCAGATTCCTAGGTTCAAATCCTGGCTTTGTCTCTTATCAGTGACATTGATTCTCATGAGCTCTCCTGTCCTTGAGCTTTGGTTTTCCCTTATGTAAAATAGGGGTGATGGGGCTGGGAAGGCGGCTCAGTGGTAGAGCGCTTGCCTTGCATGCCTGAGGCCCTGGGTTCAATTACCTAGCACCACATAAGCAAAAAGAAAAAAAGCCGGAAGTGGCGCTGTGGCTCAAGTGGTAGAGCGCTCGCCTTGAGCTAAAGAGCTGAGGGACAGCGCCCAGGCCCAGAGTTCAGGCCCCACGACTGGACCAAAAAAAAAAAAAAACTTTGTAAAATAGGGGTGATAATAGCACTATTATATTATTTCTTATTTATTCTGGCAGGGACTAGGGACCAAGAGAGGGGCCATAAATCAATTCATATGTTCCAAAGCTTGGCATAGTTGTATATTACATGTCCCTTAGTGTTTAAAACATGATTATGTGTCCTGCTGCAATGATTCATGCTGCCTATCAGAGGAGGCAGAGAACAGGAAGATCGTAATTTGAGGCCACATCAGGCAAGAAGTATGTGAGGTGGTAAGAAGTCCCAGGTGCCTATAGAGTGTACCCATCCTTCTGTCCTCCTACTCTGTCTGTCTGTCTGTCTGTCTCTGTCTCTCTCTCTGTTTTCTCACCTGCTCAGCCCCTTTCCTGCATCTCTCTGTTGATGGAGACTAGACAGGACCTGCCCTGGGCAGGGGCCAACCACCCCCCAGGCCCAGCATCAGGAACAGAGGGGCACAAGGTCCCCTCCGCAGCCCATCACAGCAACTTCCCCTCTGCGGTCTGAAGGCACCGAGAGCTGGGCTGGTGAAGATTTGAGGAAATGCCCGGTCCGGGGCCTCTGTTCTTCCCTGAAGACCAGGCACTGCCTTGGCCCGGGCTGCTCCTGCCCTGGTACAGGAAGGAGATAGACCCGCTCCTTGCCCGAGGCGCAGAATGAGGATGGGGTGGCCAGGCCCCCTGTCTGTGTCCTGAAGGGACCCCAAGTGTGCCGTGGCCATGGGCTCGCAGAGGCGCCCATGGGACGAATCCTGGAGCTGACATAATGCAAGCCTCGGAGCGTGGTCCGCACCCCACCCCTCAAAGGCACCCTGACCCCTCCCCGCTCCGTTGCAGTGCTGTGCACGGTGCTGAGTCTGTGTGGAGCTGCAGCCCAGAAGGCAGGAGGTGAGTCTGCAGGCAGCACTCGGTCCCCACCTGGAGGCTGGGGGCAGCGTCCTCCCCGCACCCCTCAGCCCAGGGAGGACACAGGGCCGCCCCCTCTACCCCCCCCTCCCCTGGGCCCTCCCCTGGGATGGCGCTGGCCCCGCCCCAGCCTGGCTCCTCACCTGGTCCCCATCCCTGCCTCAGGCTGTGCCAGGTGGTGTCCTCCGAACTCCAAGTGTCTCAGTGCCGACACCTGCCGCTGTGATGCGGGATTCAGTTCAGTCGAGGAGCTCATCACCAGCCCTGACGGCAGCTGTGACGGTACAGAGGCCTGGGGTGCTGGGCACACTGGAGGGGGGGGTCTAGTCCTATGAGAGTGGGGTACACAGGTCACAGTTGGGGTCCATCACTGAAGGAGAGAAAAGAAGGGGAGAAACAAGAAATCAATGTGCATGGCTTCCTGTGGAGAAAGGACCTGGGTGGCCAGGAGTCTGTGTGTCCATCTTCCCTCAGGACTAGGAGAGGGAGGTGCTGAGCCTCCAGCCCATCCCCTACCCTGTCACTGTCCACTGTGTCTAAATCCTGCGTGTCACCCTGAGATTTCAGAGCAGAGCTGACTGATCAGCCTTCAGGAATGGCCTGCTCCCGGTGCAGCCCGGCTTCAGAGCGCAGCCCAAGATTCTTTTCAAAAGCGAGATCAGCCCCAGTGCTGGGGGTCAGGCTGGGGATGGGGGAGTCTCCCTTCTGAGAGAACTCACACCTTTGGAAGGTGACCTTTGGCCTGTGTGTTGCAGACATCAACGAGTGTGCACCACCTTTGAGGACGTACTGTGGGAAGTTTGCGAACTGCGAGAACACAGAAGGGAGCTATTACTGTGTGTGCAGCCCAGGATATGCACTCGAGTCTGGGGACAAAATATTCAGGAACGAGAGTGAGAACACGTGTCAAGGTGAGACCCCGCCCTCCTCCCCATCACCAAGGAATGGTTGTTAAGAGGCCTAGAGCGTGAGACGGGCTGGACAGGTGCGCGCGCACCTGTGCACAAACGTCTAGCTGCAAGGTGGTGCCACGGTCAGGAGCAAACGTGGGGACCAGTTGCAGGCAGGACCCCACTCTCTGAAACACCGTGGACATGTGAGACGTGTTAAGACCCTTGGATGGTGTGCTGAGACAGAGACAGAAACAATGGAGAAAACACCTATCTTGTCAAGATCTTAAAACTACAGTATTAAGCTGGTAGAGCTTGGCTAGTGCTGGGCGCGTGGGGAGTGGGCGTGGATGGGTTGTGGGCGTGGTTTTCAGTGGGCGTGGTTGGAGGGCGGGGCTACGTGGTGGGGGCGTGGCTCCATCTTGGAGCACCTGTCTGGAAGGCACAATGTCTTTTGCTTTGTCTGGCCTCTTTTGTGCGAGGGAGTTGTGGGTGAACGCTGGGGCCTTGTCCGAGGGAGGCAAGCGCTCCCGCTAATGAGTCATGAGAGTCACACCTCAGCCAATGAGCTGCGACCGTCACCAGGCCACACCCCCACCGCTGAGCCACGCCCCACCGCCGGCCCCGCCCCGCCGCCGGCCACGCCCCGCCGCCGGCCACGCCCCGCCGCCGGCCACGCCCCGCCGCCGGCCACGCCCCGGGGTTCTTTGTAGACCAGGTGGGCACCGTTGAGGCTGAGAGAGGCAGACTGCCTGGCTGTGGCGGTGCCAGAGGGTCGGGCAGGCTCTGACTCTCACGCCTTGTCCTCAGACGTGAACGAATGCACCTCCGGCCACCACAGCTGCCACAGCTCCACCCTTTGTCTCAACAAAGCCGGCGGGTACGAGTGCGGCTGCCGACGAGGATGGAGGCCGTTCTTCATCTGGGCAACCTTCTCTGGTCAAGTGCACACCCAGTGTGAAGGTCGGCAGCTTGCAGACTCCGCCACTCCCAAGGACCGGAGCGGGCCACGCCCACCGCTTAGCCACACCCTGAATGGCCACACCCACTGGCTAGATACCACTGTCTGGCCACGCCCATTGTTGGGCGAGCCTACACTTTGCCACGCCTCTCTTCATCTCGCCTCTGACTTTCCCGCCCACGTTTAGCCACGCCCACGGGTGGAGAGTCCACGGTTGGCCACGCCCCCTCGCTTTGCCGCGCCCGCTTGGCCACGCCCCGCGCGCCCTGGCTGGACCTGGAGTCCCAGTCCGCTGATGACTGACATGGGACGCGATTCCAGACGCCCCACGGCCCGACGCACGCGCACCGGCGCCCGCGCCCGCCCGAGCCCCGCGCCCTCCGCCGCCGCGGCTGACCACCTTGAATCACCGCGGGGCGGGGACGGGGTCTGAGCCGTTCCTGTCTCCGCAGACGTGGACGAGTGCCGCTCCGGACAGCACCAGTGCCACAGCTCCGCCGACTGCGTCAACACCGTGGGGTCCTACAGGTGCCGCTGCCCCCCGGGCTGGCGGCCGCTGCCGGGGAGGACCGCGTGCGCAGGTGCCCGAGCCCCGCCCCGCCCGCCCCGCGCCCCGCCCACCCCGCGCCCCGCCCCGCCCCGCCCCGCCCCGCCCTCTCCCCACGCCCCGCCCCGCCCCGCCCGCCCCGCGCCCCGCCCACCGAGACCCGCTCTGTCCCCGCAGAGGTCGTCTTCCCCGCCTGGACGGCGCCCCCCGGAATCCACAGCCCGGTGAGGGGCGCAGCGGGGTCGGGGTGGGGTGAGGCCCCTCGGCCGCCCCACGCACCCCGCGCCGGCCCGGCTCTGAGCGCCCCCTCTGCCCCCAGGCTCTGGCCGCCTTCTTGGAGGAGATGCAGAATCTGACCAGAGACTTCCAGCCACACACAGCCCGGGACACAGCGGACGCCATCCGGGTGAGCAGGGCGCGGGGGAGGCCAGGGCAGCTGCGATCTGACAGAGGAGAGGCCGCGGGGCGGCGGGGTCCTGCCGCCTGTGGAAGGACAGACAGACACACACACACACAGACACACACGCACATACACCAAATGCACTCACTAGTTTTCTCTTGCTCTCAACCTGGGCACAACTTCCACCCGCTCTGGATTATCTTCGGGTCTCTGGGCCCCGTGGCCGGGTGGTTTACTTTCTCCATGCCGTCTCTCTGGCCTGTGGTCACGTTGTCTCTGTCCTCCATCCTCCAGAGTGTCCTGGAGAGTCTGGATGAGCTGCTGGAGACCCCTGGGGACCTGCAGACCCTGCCTCGCTCACAGCAGCACTGTGTGGCCACTCAGCTGCTCCTGGACCTGGAAAACACACTGAGAGTCCTGGGCCAGACCCTGCCGGAGGGGTCACTCACCTTCCTCGGTCCTGCAGACACAGGTGCGGGCCCCACCCCCACCACAGACAAGTGCCTGACGCCCTCAAGTCTAACAAATGCAGGGTGTTTGTTGAAGGTTTTGGTGCATGATTAAGGTTGTTTTGTTGTTGATGTTGTTGTTTGGTTGTGGGGCTTGTACTCTGGGCCTGGGCGCTGTTGCTCAGCTCTTCAGCTCAAGGTGAGCGCTCTACCACTTGAGCCACAGTGCCACTTCTTGTTTTCTGAGTGGTTAACTGAAGATAAGAGTCTCATGGACTTCCTTGCCCAGGCTGGCTTTGAGCCATGATCCTCAGATCTCAGCCTCCTGAGTAGCTGGGATGACAGGCGTGAGCCACTGGCGCCTGGCTGAACTCAGAGCTCTAAGCTCACAGGTGCTCTCCCACTAAGCCATGCTCCAGCCCTTTTATTCTGCAGTAGCTTCTCACTTTTTGCCTGGACTGTGATCCTCCAATTATGGGTTTCTCACCATAACTAGGATGACAGGCTCAGCTTTTTCTATTGAGAATCTGGGTTTCTCTGGCACTGTTCTTACAACCTCACAAACTTCTTGTCTGAGGTGGCCTCAAATTATGATCCTCCTGTTCTCTGCCACCAGCCCCCAGCTGCATGATTAAGTTTACATGAATTAGTGCTCTTGTGACATCTTATAGAATCGTTAAAATACTTTTCCCTCCTGCTGTCTTTTGTGAAGAAACAAAGTTAGAAAGGATTCAGGTCAGTGTATGTGTGTGTGTTTGCACTAGTCTTGACATTTGAACTCAGGGCCTGGGCACTGTCACAGACTTCCAGCTTTTTGGTGGATATTTAGAAATAAGAGTCTCACAAATTTTCCTGCCTGAGCTGGCTTCCAACTTCAGATCCTCAGATTCTCAGATCCCAACTTCCTGAGTAGCTGGGGTTACAGGCATGATCAGTCTGAGCAGTCTTTTTAACATTTCTATTTTCTCCTGTGTCAGTTCTGGAAGTGTGTGTGTCCTGAGGAATTTGTCTGTTGCACCTGAGATTGTCAAACACTTGCTGTGCAATTGCTATTATTATTTTAAGCCTCTGCAAATGACGATCTCACCTACATTATGCACAATGTGTGCACTATTGTTCTGTGACTATATAGGTGATATGGAATATGTACATTATATATAACACACACATACATTATACACTATATGCATCATATATCTGCATTATGTATACACATGCACGCACATATTTGTCCTCATCTAGCTCTGCTTGTGTTATTTCCATCTTCACAGAAGTGACGCTGGAGTTGCAGGTTCCAGGCGACAGGCAAGTCACCTTGAGTCAGAATCAAACAAAGATGCAGCTGACCTGGGACCTGGCCCAGAAGCCCGGTCACCCAGGTAATGGCCAACATGGTATCCCTGGCACTGAGGCCTCCTGGTAGGAAAAGGTGTCATATAAAAACAGAGTTAAGCCGGGAGACAGTAGCTCAAGCCTGTAATCCTAGCCACGCAGGAAGTGGAGATCTGATTCATTTGGCTCTGACAGGAAATACTGCTAGACTCTTATCTCCAAGTAACCACTGAAAAATGAGAAGTGGAGCTGTAGCTCAAAATGGTAGGGCACTAGCCTTAAGCAAAAGAGCTGAGGGACAGAGCCCAGGCCCTGAGTTCAAGCCCCATGACCTACAAAAAAGAGAGAGAGTTAAAAGCCAGGTGCAGTGGCTCATGCCTATAATCTCAGCCACTCAGAAGGCTGATATCTGAGGAATATGATTCAAAGCCAGCCTGTGAAGGAAAGCCCAAACTCTTATTTCCAATAACTAGCAAAAAGCCAGAAGTGGAGCTGTGGCTCAAGCGATAGAGCGCTAGCCTTGAGCACGCATACACACACACACACACACACACACACAGAGAAAGCTCAGGACAGCGCCCAAGCAATGAGTTTAAACCCCAGTACCAGCACACAAAATTTTAGGGAGCATGGGAGAGGGGTGAGGCCACGAGAGGAAGGGTCCATCTGAGGCGGCACCCCGAGCTCACCCTTGCGTTTGGCCCACAGGCCCCGCCATGGTGGGCCTCATCTCCATTCCCAAGATGGGCAAGCTGCTGGCTGAGGCTCCGCTGGTCCTGGAGCCAGCGCAGGAGGCAACTCCTGAGACAAACTGGGGCCCACACCTGACACCAGTCCTGCTCTCCGACGTCATCACAGCCTTCCTGAGCCACCGGGACACGCAGAACCTCAGCTCCCCGGTGACCTTCACCTTCTCCCACCGTGTGAGCGCCGGTGGACGGGCGATGGGCAGGGAAGAGCCTGAGTTCAGGACACACCCTGGTTGTGCTTCTTGGCTTTGGGGTCCCCCCACCCCAAGAGCCAGCCCTTCCCAGGCCAGCCTGGGCCTTCATCTCTGAGCCGTGTCTCTCGCCCCTGTCCTGTCCCTGCAGCCGGTGAGCGCTGGGCCGCGGCGTGGGGTGCTCTGTGTGTCGTGGCTTGGTGGCCGGGGTGAGTATGGACACTGGGTCACCACGGGCTGCGAGACGGTGGACACCGGAGACTCCAGCACCACCTGCAGCTGCTCGCACCTGAGCAGCTTTGCCGTGCTCATGGCCCACGATGGCAGGCAGGTGAGACCATGCGCAGCCTCCGCTGTCACCGGCAGACCCGCACCAGGGAGCTGTGGAAGTGAAACGAGTGCACAGGAAGGAGCCGCGCGCCCGCGCTGCTGGCTCACGCCTGTCATCCCAGATACTCAGGAGGCTGAGATCTGAGGATCATGGTTCAAAGCCAGCCTCAGCAGGAAAGGCCTTGAAGTTCTTTTCTCCAATGAACCACCAAAAGGCAGACGTGGAGCTGTAGCTCAAGGGCTAGAGCGCCAGCCTTGAGCACAAAAGCTCAGGGACAGTGCCCTGGCCCTGAGTTCAAGCCCCAGGACTGGCAAAGAAAAAAAGAAACACTTAAAATCGAGGCTGGGTGCAGTGGCTCAGGCCTGTCATTCTGCCTCCCTGGGAGGAATCAGGTAGCCGCGGTGTCAGTTCGAGGCCAGCCCAGGCAAGATGTTTATGAGACTCCATCTCAACCAATGGTTGGGCACAGTGGCACACGCTTTGCCTGTTTTCCTGGCTACAAGGGAACCAAAATAGTGGGGCACAGACAGGGGCGTGTGCCTGTCATGCCCTGCGTCCCAGAGAAGCACAGATAGGATGACTGCCTAGCAGACCCGACCTTGAAAACAACCCTGTGGGCAGGGACGGGAGGGGAAATTGGCTGGAAAGTAATGGAAGGGGTGACATCGTTCCAAAAAGGAAATGCACTCATTACCTAGCTTCTAAAATGGTAGCCCCTCTGCACCCCACATTCATAGTAACAATGAAATTATTAAAAAATTCTAACCAATGCAAAAATGAGCTGGGGACCTGGCTCATGGCAGGGGCGTGGCTCACGGCAGGGGCGTGGCTCATGGCAGGGGCGTGGCTCGTGACGTGGGGCGTGGCTCATGGCAGGGGCGTGGCTCACGGCAGGGGCGTGGCTCACGGCAGGGGCGTGGCTCACGGCAGGGGCGTGGCTCGTGACGTGGGGCGGGGCTCCCAGTGAGGGTGTGCCTCCACGGCTGGGGTGTGTCTGGTATAGAGTTGCTCTGTGGTGTGGGCTTGGCTCCACTGTGGGTCTTGGTCTCAGAGTGGGTGTGATTTTGGGGAGGGGGCGTGGCCAAGGTGGTAGACCAGCTGCCTAGGAAGAGCGCTAGGCCCTGTGTTGAATGCTCACTGCAGCAAAATATGAGTAAGAATCTGTTGTAATCTAAAACTCCAGCCTGGTCACACTTAGCCATCAAGTTCACAAATTTCCCTGGGCCCTTCTTTCTATAACGTGCTAAGCCAAATACTAATGAGTCTGGGTGTGGGGGGGGGCGGTCACTGACCCCAAGCGGGAGGCAGTGACCACCGTCTCTGCTCCGCCCCCTCCCAGGAGGCCGACCCCGCCCTGGCCCTCATCACCCAAGTGGGGCTCGGCCTCTCCCTGCTCTGCCTCCTCCTGGCGGCCCTCACCTTCCTCCTGTGCAGGGCCATCCGCAACCTCAGCACCACCCTGCACCTGCAGCTCTCCATCTGCCTCTTCCTCGCCCACCTCCTCTTCCTCACCGCCATCCACCGCACCGAGCCCAAGGTACCCACCGTGCCCCTCGGCCCCCAGGCCCCCCGCGCCGCCCAAGGGCGCACGGAGCCAGGCTGCCGCCTTGGACTGTGAAATACAATGGCACTGAGAAAGTAGACAGGCATGGCGGCTCACACTGACACTAGACACTCGGGGGCGGAGTTTGGTGGGACTGTGATTCCAGGTCAGCCCAGATAAACGGGGAAAGTCCGTAACACCCCACTTCAGCAGAAGAGGCTGGGCATGCAGGGTGGTGCGCACCTGTAAACGCAGCTTTGCTAGGCAGCACACACAGGAGGATCGCAGTCTGGGCTGGGCCAGCTTTAAAAAAAAAAAAGTGAGAAAAAGGTGTTCCACACATAGCTAGAGCAGAACGGGTTAGAGGTGAGGCTCGAGTCGTGGAGCACCTGCCCAGCACCTGCCCAGCACCGGCAGAACTCTGGGCACAAGGAGGGGAAGGGCGGGGGGTGATCTGCAGTGAGTCGCACTCGGCCCGTCTCCTCCTCCTCCCCCCCCCCCCCCCCCGCAGGTGCTCTGCGCCGTCATCGCCGGCGCCCTGCACTACCTCTACCTGGCCGCCTTCACCTGGATGCTGCTGGAGGGGCTGCACCTGCTCCTCGCCGCCCGCAACCTGACGGTGCTGCACTACTCCGCCAGGAGCAGAGGCTTCCGAGCGCTCATGTTCCCCGTGGGCTACGGGCTCCCCGCTGTCACGGTGGCCGTGGCCGCGGCGGCCCGGCCTCGGCTCTACGGCACGCCTGCCCGGTGAGTGCGGACACCGCCCGCCCCAGCCCTTCCGGCCGCGCGGAACCAAAGCGGGTGCCCAGCATTTACTCCAGAGCTTGGCCAGCAAACAGGGATTCTGCTCAAAGGGGATGAATTCCGTGCAGCAAAGATCCAGTGGAGCTGCGCACAGGTCACTCAGCCCTGTAAACCCAGCTACTCAGGAGACTAAGGGCTGAGTAGGAAAATCCAGTGAGACCCTTATCCCCAATTATCCACCAAAAAGTCAGAAGTGGTGCTGTGGCTCAAGTGGTAGAGGGCAGTGCCCAGGCCCTGAGTTCAAGCACCAGGACTGCGCGCGCGCGCACACACACACACACACACACACACACACAGTTACATGGCTGTGTTCTACTTTGGCCATGTTTATCTCAGGACCATTGACTTATTTGCCATCTCAAACTAAGTATGACATCCAAGAGAGATGTCACCTCTTTTCTGCTTGATGGTTCACTGTGTCCTCGCAGAGGTGACATGTGTGGGACATAAACCATGTGTACTTTCTTCCCCATTGGATCTTTACAGAAAATCGCAGAAGAGACACACTAGTATTGAGGAAGGAAGGGGAAGGAAGGGAGGGAGGGGGAAGGAAGGAGGAGGAAAAGTGGATGAGAGTGAGGGAAGGTAAGGGAAAGGAATAAAAGAGGGAAGGAAGGGAAAAAAGGATGGAAGGAGGGAGGAAAAAATGAAGGAGAGGGAGGGAAAAGGGAGACAAGGAGGGAAGGAGGGAGAGGAAGAAAAGGAGGGATGAGAAAGGAAGTTTAAAATGAAGGAGGGGCTGGGAAGGTGGCTCAGTGGTAGAGTGCTTGCCTAGCATGTATGAGGCCCTGGGTTCCATTCCTCAGCACCACAAAGAAAAAGCCAGAAGTGGCGCTGTGGCTCAAGTGGTAGAGTGCTAGCCTTGAGCAAAAGAAGCTCAGGGACAGTGCCCAGACCGTGAGTTCAAGCCTGAGGACTGGCAAATAATAATTATCATCATCATCATCATATAAAAATAAAGGAAGGAGGGGAAAAGAAAAAGGAAGGGAAGAAGGAAGACGGTTTTATCTGCACTGTTGGTTGTCTCTGTCCAGCTGCTGGCTGAACACAGAGAAGGGCTTCGTGTGGGCTTTCCTCGGCCCGGTCTGCACCATCATCTCTGTGAGTGACTCCTCAGACCTCCTAATACCCATCTGGGCAGGGCGCTACGAACACCCAGGGGGCAGGAATGCCGCAGGCTGGCCCCGGGGTTGGGTTGTGTTCCTGAAACTTCCAGATTCTGATGCTTCCACTAGAGATGGAAAAGGCTGCCATTTGCCATGGGTGTTGGGTGGCCTGACAGGAGATCAAATTGCTCAACTTCCACTCCTGTGGGGCTGGGGTGGGGCTGGGGTGTAGGTGAGGTCCTGGGGTTCACCCCCAGCCCACAAAGAAAGAGAAGGGGGCATTCACGGCGCTCCCCTGGTCTCCTCAAGATCAACATGGTGTGCTTTCTGCTGACCGTGTGGGCGGTGAAGAGCAGGCTCTCCACCCTCAGCCGGGACGTGTCCACCCTCCGGGACACCAGGTGAGATGACCCGCACGCGTGTGCTCCCCAAAGCCCAACCCACTGTGTGGTCCTGGTGTCTCTTCTCTGACTGGATACGAAGTTAACAAATGTGCCGGGCACTGGTGACTTCACACCTGTCATCCTGCTACTCAGGAGGCTGAGATATGAGGATCTCAGTTCAAAGCCAGCCCCAGCAGGAAACTCCCCATGAGACTCTTATCTCCAATGAACCATTAGTAAACCAGAAGCAGAGCTGTGATTCAAAGGAGTGCTAGCCTTGAGCAGAAGAGTTCAGGGACAGTGCTCAGGCCCTGAATTCAAGCTCTGCAACCAAAAAAAAAAAAAAAAAAAACTTCCATTCATGATCCCACTAGCATTCAGCAAGGTGCTGCTACCACCCCCAAAACGTACTGTCCATCCCTGAACCCAGCTTGTGACGCCACCTCCCACCCCACCCCCCAGCCTACATGTGCCATTCCAGCCAACCATTCCTCCCACCAAACGAAGAAATCCTAACCAACATCAAACCCTCCCAGAGTGCTTTGCTGGAAGGACAGTTCGCATGTCAATGTTTAGTGATTCACTGTTTGAATGTGATTCACTGTTTGAATGCACTGTCGCCTTTATGATTGCAAGGATCTGGTCTTGCTCTCTCCTTTTGTTTTTATATTTTCATGGTATAAGGGTTTGAACTCAGAGCCTCATGCTTGTTGGCTGGTACTCTACCCCTTGAGCCATGCTTCCAGCCCTTTTAAGCACTGGTGTGTGTGTGTGGTGTTAGACATAAGGGTCTCACTGACTTTCTTGCTCAGGCTGGCTTTGAACGGCGATCCTCAGATCTCAGCCTTCTGAGTAGCTTAGGATGACAGGCGCGAGCCACAGACGCCCATGAAATTATAAGAACTTTATCACGTGTCAGCGTCCTCACAGGTCCACAGGTGTCCCCCAGGAAAGAGACTCACAGTGTGAAACGCCATGACAGTGACCCTCCCAGCTCAGCCTGAGCAGCCAGCCAGAGGAGGGCAGCCAGGACGTCATCCGTGGGTTTGTTCTGGTGGTATCAGGGCGCTCTGTCTCTCTCTGTCTCCCTGTCCCAGGATGCTGGCATTTAAAGGAGTCGCCCAGCTCTTTATCCTGGGCTGCACGTGGATCCTGGGCGTCCTGCAGGTGGGCGCGGCGGCGCGGGTCCTGGCGTACCTGTTCACCATCGCCAACAGCCTGCAGGGCGTCTTCCTCTTCCTGGTCTACTGCCTGCTCAGCCAGCAGGTGCCCCCACCCCTCCCCTCCCCCCTCGCCCCCTCCCCTCCCCCCTCGCCCCCCTCCCCTCCCCGCAGGCTCAGCCTCCCCGCCGTCCCCCAGCGCGCCCACAGCTCGCTCCCTCCACAGGTGCGGGATCAATACCGCAGATGGTTCCGAAGGACCGGGAAGTGGACAGAGGAACCCGCGTCCTACACCCTGTCCAGCCAGGTGGCGCCCGAGGCCGCCCGGCCCGCCCAGGTGAGCGGCCCAGCGCCCCGCTGGCTGACCGGGCCGCGGCCCAGCCCGTCCGCAGTGGGCTGACCCGCGCCGGTCCAGACCTGCGGCCCGAGCGCTTGGCAGGGCCGATGAGCCGTGGCCTCGGGGAAACCAGGCAAACAGAAGTTCAAGAGATGCCATCCACCAAATGGCCGAGAGCCGCCCTCTCCAGTCACAGGAGAAAGCATGAACAGCAGCCCAAGCGTAACGCACGGCCCATCTCCAATAGAAATAATAACCACACAGCCGGGCCAGGGGCTCACGCCCCGCATCCTAGCTCCTCAGGAGGCTGAGATCTGAGGATCAAGGCCCCGAGTCAGCCCGGGCAGGAAAGTCCTTGAGACATTTCATCCCCAAAGAACCACAAAAAAGGTGGGAGGTGGAGGTGTGGCTCAGAGGGTAGAGTGCCAGCCACGAGCAAAAAAAAAGCTAGGCGAGTGTGAGGCCCTGGGTTCAAGCCCCAGCACTGACACAAAGAAAAAGAAAAAAGGAGGGGAGGGAGGAAGGACGGAAGAGAGAAGAAGGGAGGGAAGGAAGCTTGAAGGAAGAATTTTGGAAGTTTTTACTATATAGAAATGTATCAAAATTTCATATTATCCCAATACTGTATGTAACTTTTTATACTAAATTTAAGCTAAATTTAAGTTATAAAGAGGTTAATCTGCACCCCAGAGGGTGTTCTTCACCTGTAACACTAGATACTTGGGAGGCAGACAGGAAGATCACAGTTCAAGGCCAACCTAGGCAAAAGTTAGTGAGATGGGATCTCACTAACTGGAGATGTAGAGTAGAGCCCGAAACCTTGAGTTCAAACCCTAGTACCACAAAATAAATAACCTTTTTTTTTTTTTTTTTGCTGGTCATGGGGCCTGAACTCTGGGCCTGGGCGCTGTCCCTCAACTCTTCAGCTCAAGGCTAGCGCTCTACCACTTGAGCCACAGTGCCACTTCCACCTTTTTCTGCATATGTGGTGCTGAGGAATCGAACCCAGGGCCTCATGCATGCAAGTCAAGCACTCAATCACTGAGCCACCTTCCCAGCCCAATAAATGCTTTTTAAAAAACAAGGCAGGCATAGTGGTGTGCACCTATGATTTCAACTATTCAGGAGAAGATAGGAGGATCGTGACAGACTTTAAAAAGCAAATAAGTAGGGGCTGGGAAGGTGGCTAAGGGGTAGAGTGCTGGCCTTGCATACATGAGACATGTATGCATACATCGAACATGGGTTCGATTCCTCAGCACCACATAAACAGAAAAACCAGAAGTGGCGCTGTGGCTCAAGTGGTAGAGCAACAGCCTTGAGCTGAAGAGCTGAGGGACAGCGCCCAGGCCCTGAGTTCAAGACCCATGACCCACCAAAAAAAAAAGCAAATAAATAAGCAGAAAGTCTAAAGGTGTGGCTTAAATGATAAAGCACAACCTACCCCATCTAGTGTTGGTCCTAATGTGCTGGGTCTGACTTTTGCTAGGTAGGACCTACCCAGGGGCTCTAACACTTTGGCCACGCCCCTGACACCTTAGATAAGCCCCTGGTGCTCAGGCCACACCTCCAACAATTGAACCAGGCCCCTAGACTAGGAGTTACAACCCCACACTGCTGACCCCGCCTCAATCCTAAAAGTATTATAACAAAGCAAATTAACCAATCAGATCACAAAGTGAGCTTTTTGACTTGAGTACAATCAACCTGATACATTTCACCTTTCTTTCCTTGTTTTTAAAGGGAACTTGTAAGTTAGCATTCTCTAGTCACCTATCATTTTATGGTCTTAGATATCATTTACTCAAATATTATCTTTCTAGGCTAACTAGAAAGATCTTACAACCTGTCTCCTGGAAAATCTGAGTGGCAGTTCTTGGAGCCATTAAGAGGGAAAATGAAGACTTTGTGATGTTTCAAGAAATCTATCCTGAAAAGCTAGGCAGCATCGGCTCACACCTGTAATCCCAGCTACTCAGGAGGCTGAGATCTGAGGATTGCAGTTCAAAGCCAGCCCAGGGAAGAAAACTCCATGAGACTCTTATCTCTAATGAACCACCAAAATCCAGATGTGGAGCTGACTCAAGGGGTAGAGTGCCAGCCTTGAGCAAAAAAGCTAAGCAAGAGCACCAGGCCCTGAGTTCAAGCCCCAGTACCAGTGCAAAACTTTTAAGTAAAAATGAAGGCCAGAGAAGACATGCATCGTGTTGGCAGCGAGGGCGTCACGGGGAGCATGGCTAGCGTTGTCCTTGCAGAACCCCAGGTGTCCTGCGCCGCTGCTGTTCAACCAGCTCAGCACACAGCTGACCAGTCACTCAACTCACCCGGGCTAAATCCTCACCCACAGCCACACCCTGCACTGAAGACTCTTCTACTCCCCAGATGCTGTGACCAAAAAGATTCACTTCCAAGGACGTTCCTCTCATGTGAACTGAACATGAAGACAGGTCTCACGATGGCGTTTCCATGCATCAGACACTGGGTGGATACAGCCACCTCCTCATCCTCACACCCCTGCCAGTCTTCTAATACCCACCCCCTCCCCTCATTTTCTTTAACTGGAGTTTGCACAAAGGCAAGATGCTTGTCTTTCTGTGTCAAGCTTTGTTTCACATCACCCAATGATCTCTAGTACCCTTCCATTTTCTTACAAGTGAGATCATTCCATTCTTCTTTCTGGTTGAATAGTATGCCACTGTTACCATTTTGTTTTGTGGGGTTTTTTTTTTCTTTATCCAATCATCTGTGGAGTGGCACTACTGGACTGGATTTTATACCTTGGATAAGGTGAGTTGATGCCACAAGATACAGGAGCCACACAAGTATCTCTGTGGTAAGCTGACTAACTTCAGGGCTGATAGAGCAGGTTCCTGTAGAAGTTCTATTTTACATTATTTGAGGAACTTCCTTATCAACTTCAGTAGCAGTGTGGCTCATGGAGTCTCCATTCCCATCAACCCTGGAAGGGCTTCTCCTCCTCAACCCCGCCCCCATCCTCACCCCTGCTGGCTAATTGGTTCATCACTACTAATCATGATGAATATATATATATATATATATTAGGAGGCTGAGATCTGATCACAGTTCAAAGCCAGCCCAGGCAAGAAACTCTTATCTCCAATAAACCACTTAGAAAAACAGAAGTGGTACTGTGTCTCAAGTGGTAGAGCACTAGCCTTGAGCTGAAGAGCTGAGGAACAGAGCCCAGGCCCAGAGTTCAAGCCCCATAACCGACCAAAGAAAAGAAAGATCTTCGATCCATCTCCAGTTAATTTCTGTACAGAGATGGAGGACTCTAGTTTGGTTGGTTGACCTATATTCTAGCAGACTAGAAAAAATCTAGAATAGATGACATTCATTGAATGCATATGACCTATTAAAATTGAACCAAAGAGGATAGAGACCACTTATAAAATAGACCTAAACCCAATCAATGAAATTAACTCCATAATACTCTCCCAAGAAAGAAAATCCAAGGACCAGGTGCATTCACTGCTGACTTCCACAAGGGAAGAAGAACGAACACCACTCTTGTAGGGAACTAATTGTGGTGCTGAGCTGCAAGCGCCAGGAAAGGGTAGAAGTTAGACTGTGTGCCACCCCCACACACACATATACACCGATGCTCAGATGGCTGAGAACTGGACCCAGGGAAGGTTGAGACAGAGGAAGGGAGATTTACATTTGAGTTACAGATTTTGAAAGTATTTACCATTTCCCTCTGCCCCCTAACACTAAGGGAGTCAGTTTTCACTGTGTATACAAACTGTCTCATATCAACAATTTTAACCACAAAATATACAGATACCTGGTTTTCTGCATGTATAGCCTGTTTTGGCCTATAGTGACCTTCCCTGTACTAACCTAAATAAATAAGCTTGCTTATGGGAACTGGAAGCTCTTGTGTCAGTAGTGTCTTGAGTCCCCTGGTCCCTCTTTGCTCTACTCTGTCTGGGTCTGTTCTCATTTCTTTGGCTCCAGTATCCCGTGAAACTCTTACAGGTTGCAGAGAGTAACAACTGGTTCCTCCAACTATTCCAGAAAGGGCAGGAACACTGCCAAGTTCATTCTATAGTGCCAGTGCTGTCCTGATATGAAAACAATAAAGAGACGCTGTTGTGGGGGCAAGATGGAGGGTTAGAAGTGGCCACCACTTTGATACGGTGAATGAGAAGCATCAGGTAATATTCAGATTGTATTGTGAAGAGAGAAGACCATTGGGTAATCACAGAAGAGGTCCACAGGACAGCTGAAACCCCCAAAGAAACTGAGGCACCAATGGCTCACGCCTGTCATCCCAGCTACTCAGGAAGTTGAGATCTGAGGACTGCAGTTGGAAGCCAGCCTGGGCAGAAAAGCCCTTGAGACTCTTGTCTCGAATTAACTACCAAAAAGCTGGAAATGGAGCTGTGTGGCTCAAGTGGCAGAGCATCAGCATTGAGCAAAAAAAGCTCAGGGGAGGAAAGGAAGAGAAAAAGGATTCCACAAGTCTTGCTAAGGGCTCTGAGCTTCTCTCCTCCCTGCCCTGGCCTGGAGCTGCAGAGGGGCTGCCTCCTCCTCCGGCCGATGGCACTGGACTCACACAGCATCTCAGCCATGTCAAAAAGATGTTCTGATCCCTAAAACAGTGACAGAAAAAAAGGCAGAGAAAGATGCTCTGAACAGGCTCAAGGAGGCTTGTAACGCTGCAAATATACCAGCCTGATTTCATAGAGAAATATCAAGGAGATGTGGCAAACCCTGAAAAGTTGAAGACTGCATTATTGTTGAGAATGTCCAGAGAAGTTACTTCATGCAGCTGCTGAGAAGAACTTCCCTTTTCAAATGAATTCTGCGACCACAGCTTTAGAAATCGGTGAAGGGTGACTTAGAGAGGACTAGCAGATGTCTTTGCATTGCCTCTTGTTTTTAAATGGCCCAATGGATTGCAGTGCTGTGTTCACATTTATGCACCGCATTCCTGATTTCTAGTCCTGGTGGTTCTAAGAGCAGTCTGTGTTCCCCTGCAGTACCTGCCTCAAGTCGAGTGAAAACCATCAGTGTCATAACTATAACTTTGTCCATTATAAAAAAATTTTAATTGTTTGTGCATAATTAAGCTTGTGCTGGAAGTTGACAAGATTTCAGCCACCATCTCCAAATTCTTTGTTTCAGAATCTTGATTAAAAAGTTTTAATTGTGTAAACCTGATCATTTTTTGACTAAAAAATGATACAGAAACTTGACCTTTACAGGAATGATCATGCTGGTGTTGTAATGTAAATGCATGTTAGACATGTTTTTCAAAGTTTTATAACTTATAAAGGCCTAAAAATAATGTACAAAACACAGCCAAGATGCAAAATTCCTTCTTTCTTTTGTTACTTGCAAGTTCTTAGAATGCTCACCTAATCTTGAGTGGTTAATCACTAGATGTGTGGTATGTTTCTACAAATATGTAATATTTGGGCTGGGAAGGTGGCTCAGTGGTAGAGTGTTTGCCTTGCATACATGAGGTCCTGGGTTTGATTCCTCAGCACCACATAAACAGAAAAAGCTGGAAGTGGTGCTGGGCCTCAAGTGGTAGAGGGCTAGCCTTGAGTTCAGGCCCCACGACCGACCTCCCCCCCCAATGTAATATTTTCTAATAAATAACGATTTCCAGTCATTAAGAACAAATGAAATATTAAAAGAACTCATATTAGCAGCACAGACATTTAAGTACCAGAAGAATTAATCTGTTCTTATGTCTTGAATAAAAAACACTTTCATTGCAATTTGTGGAACTAATGGAAATAAGTAAATCAGAAGTCTCGTGTTTGCTCAAGTTATTTCAGTTATTTTTACGTAGTAAAATTATCTTTTTTTTTTTGGTCTGGTGGTGGAGCCTGAACTCTGGGCCTGGGCGCTGTCCCTCAGCTCTTCAGCTCAAGGCGAGCGCTCTACCACTTGAGCCAACTTCCCAGCCCCATCATTTATTTTTTTTTTTAAGTTCAAGGACAGTGCCCAGGCTGTGAGTTCAAACACCAGCACCAATATGAAAGAAAGGCCTTGAGTTCAAGCCCCAGCACCAAGAAAAATGGAAGGAAGGAAGGAAGGAAGGAAGGAGGGAGGGAGGGAGGGAGGAGAGGAAGGAAGGAGGGAAGGAAGGAAGGAGGGAAGGAAGGAAGGAAGGAAGGAAGGAAGGAAGGAAGGAAGGAAGGAAGGAAGGAGGGAAGGAGGGAAGGAGGGAAGGCGGGAAGGAGGGAAGGAAGGAAGGAAGGAAGGAGGGAAGGAAGGTCGGCCAGGAGTTGCAGCACACCTGTAATCCCAGCAAATGGGAGACAGAGACAGGAAGAGTTATGTGTTTGAGACCAGCCTGGCTACGTAGTCAGACTCTGACCCAAAGAGCAACATGAAACCATGGCGGCCAAACGAGACACTACGTGGTGCGTGCCGGGCCCACTGCAGGGCAGAGGCCGGGCGCGGGCAGGCCGTCCCTCCCCGCGGGCCCTCCGGCGGCGGGGGTGGGGCTCCCCGTCGTGTGGCAGGCGCGGGGGGGCGCGGGCGCGGGCGCGGGCGCGGGCGCGGGCGCGGGCGCGGGCGCGGGCGGCTTCCCGAGGGGGGGGAGGCCGGCGGAGGCACGCCCGCACCACGCGGGGCCGCTCCCGGCTTCTCCCCGGCGTGCGCGCGCGCGCAGGTGGTGCTCGCCCGATCTCCATCCCGGGCCTCTCCAGCCAGGAGCCCGGGCCCCGCAGCCGAGGCGGCTCCCGGGAGCGCGTGCACTGGGGCGGGCGGAGGCCACGCCCCGCGCGGGCTCTGCCGGGGGGGGGGGGCGCATGCCCAGAACCGCCTCGTGGAGGGAGAGGCGCTGAACGGTGAGCAGTCGAATGTAACGGGCGACGCTGGCATTGCGTCATGACATGCGCGACGCCCGCATGACGTCATGAGGTGTGGGACGCTCGTGTCGCCTCATGAAATGTGCAGCCGTCACACTGTCATGAGGTGTGCGACGCTATCGTAAACGTCATGAAGTGGGCGCCACTCACCTCTGCGTTGCGGTGTGCGGTGCCCACGCTACGGTGTGCGACGCTCGTGTGACGTCACTAAGTGTGCGCCGCCGAGACCTAGGCCGAGTACGTGAGAGGCGCCGTGAGGTCACACCTCCCGCGCGCGCGGGGCAGGCCCGCCAATCCTAGAGCTCTCCCGGGCTGCGCGACCCTCGCGGGGTCCTCTCGGAGCTCTCGGTCCCCCGCGCTTCCCGGGCCGGGAGCCTCGGCCCTCGCGGGGCGCTCCCACCGCAGCGGCACCGAGCGCGGGCCGCCGTCCCCGGCGGGGGATCGGCACCGAGCCGAGCGCGGGACGCCTTCCCCGGCGGGGGATCGGCACCGAGCCGAGCGCGGGACGCCTTCCCCGGCGGGATCGGCACCGAGCCGAGCGCGGGACGCCTTCCCCGGCGGGGGATCGGCACCGAGCCGAGCGCGGGACGCCTTCCCCGAGCGCGGGACGCCTTCCCCGAGCGCGGGACGCCTTCCCCGGCGGGGGATCGGCACCGAGCGCGGGACGCCTTCCCCGGCGGGGGATCGGCACCGAGCCGAGCGCGGGACGCCTTCCCCGGCGGGGGATCGGCACCGAGCCGAGCGCGGGACGCCTTCCCCGGCGGGGGATCGGCACCGAGCGCTGGACGCCTTCCCCGGCGGGGGATCGGCACCAAGCCAGGGACGCCTTCCCCGGCGGGGGATCGGCACCGAGCGCGGGACGCCTTCCCCGGCGGGGGATCGGCACCGAGCGCGGGACGCCTGGCCCACCCTGCGTGCCGGCAGATGGCGTCCCACCAAAGTGTCTGGGCCGGGAGCGGACTCCTGCCGTCCAGGCCGAGGGTCCGCGATGGGCTGGTGGATGGGGTGGGAGAAAGGATTACAGACACAGAAAATGGTCCCGATGACCAAAGCAAGCAAGGCACGTGCGGATTTTTGTAGGAGAGAGAGATAGATCCCCAAGAGAGCAGAAAAAGTGGCTCTGAGGAGGAAGGCATCAGAAGGAAGGGTAAACCTCAGGCCTGTGCCCAGACCTGAGCCATAGGGTGGTGGGACAAGGACAGAAACGGTAAGACAGCCTGCGGGGGCCAAGCCTGTGGGCCCGGGGCACTGGCAACGCCTCCGAAGGGTGGGACTGCGCGGAGCTGACCGGACAAGATCCTCTGAGACTCCCTGCACGAAATCAGGGGGAAGTAAGGATGGCACACAGCCAAAGGACAGAGGGAAGAGGATGGGACTGACGGACCGGGCTCAGCCAGATCACTGGAAACGTTTCCTTGTCAAAGCTTACCAACGCTTGTTTTTCCTGGCCCTTCCTAGTACTGGACAGATGTCTGGCAAGACTCCTTTCTTGGTGGACAATGATTCTACTCGTATTTGTTTTGTTTTGTTTTTTGTCGGTTATGAGGCTTGAACTCGGCCCGGGCGCTGTCCCTGAGACTGTGCTCAAGGCGAGCCCTCTACCACTTTGAGCCACAGCGCACCTACTGGCTTTCTGGTGGTTCATTGGAGATCAGAGTCCCATGGGTTTTTCTGCTTGGAAAGACTTTGAACCGCGATGCTTAGATCTCAGCCTCCTGAGTAGCTAGGATGACAGGCCTGAGCCACCGGCGCCCGGCCCCTCATTCTTTTAAGAGACTAGCTTTCATCTTTACTTCCTTCCCTGCCTCCTGAACCTAAGCATCGGAATCTACTCCGAGTGCAATCTTTAATTGTGCCAGGCGGTGGCAGTTATGGAATAAAAACTAAGCAGTGTTTATACTAGAGGATTACGTTTGGTTCAGAAGTGGATTTGTTTGCCAAGCGGCTCATTGGGGCGGATCTCCAGGAAGCAGGGGAGTACAGGGGGAGGAGCTGACCCAGGGTGGGTGGGGTCCAGCCAGGGCCCAGACCTATGGGGGACGGAGGGCAGCTCTGGAGTCTGCACTATGAAACTGGCCCACAGTGAGGCCCCATCCCCATACAGGGTGCTCTGACAGCGCCCCCACGCAGTGCCTGCATTCGACACTCACTGCCCTGCCACGAACCATCGGTACCCCAGTTCCTACCTCCACACGTGTGGACGTCCTCTCCTACCCCAGCACAGCACGTGCACCCTGACCCTCCCAGGCTCCCATAAAACATCCCAACCATCACACACCCCCAACCTCCTCCCCCCTCCAACGGGTCATGGGAAATCCGATGGGCGAGGCGGTTGGGACACATGATGCGATGATAGAAGCCAGGTCCAGGAGCATTTATTTCATAAATAGGCATGATAAGCTGAAACCCCTTCGAACAACTATTTGATGTTTGTTTGTTTCCAAATAGCTGGCATAAAAAAGGCTGGGAGCATGGCTTGACAGTAAAGCACCTCCCTAACAAGCACAGGGCCCTAAGGGAAGGAAGGGAGGGAAGGAGAGAAAAGGAAGGAAGGAGAAAGAAGAGAGAAAGGAAGGAAGGGAAAGAAATGAGGGAAGAAAAGAAGGAAGAGAAGGAAAGTAGAGGCCTCGGTGGTAGAGTGCTTGCTTGCTGAGTGTGTGCTCTAAGATCTAACTTCCATCTGAAGCATAGGAAAAAAACAAAATCAAAAACAGAACCTGGCACTGATGGCTCACACCTGTAATCCTAGCTACTCAGGAGGCTGAGATGTAAGGCTTAAGGTTCAAAGCCAGCAAGGGCAAGAAGTCTGTGAGACTCTTACTCCAATTAACCACCAAAAAGCCGCCATTTGAGCTACACCTCAAGTGGTAGAGCGCCAGCCTTGGGTGAAAAGAGCTCAGAGACAGCGCGCGGGTCCTGAGGTCAGGCCCAGAACCAGCACAGAAACAAAACAATTTTTTTTTAATTAAAAAAGCAGAAGCACGGGTGGGGTGGTGAAAGGGGAAGAGGCTCAGGTCCAGGAGAGCAATTTCCTGAGCCAGTTTGCCTAAGAGACACCCGTCGCTCCTCCCGCCATCAGTTCTTGGGAGATCTCAGCTGGGGCTGGTTGTCAGCTGGGAGCGCAGGAGGGGACTTTCCAGAGCTGGCTGGTGTCACCTGCACCACAGGATGCAAAGGCCATGGCTTCTCCCAGGTACAGTGATGGCAGCCTTGACTCCACCACCCCTCCTATCCAGCCCATGAGGGGCTCCATCCCCCCTTCACCCGGACTTCCTTTCCTCATTCAGATCTTCCCCATCTTGGAAACTAACGAAACTACCTGGACTCTGTTCTTGCAGGCTCCTGGTGCTTTCCCTCTCCTCCTTTATCCCTTTTCTGTGACCAAAAAGAAAATAAAAATTGCTGGGGGCTGGGGGAGGGAGGGCTTATGTATCTCAGGAGGCTGAGATTTGAGGATCACAGTATAAAGCCAGTGAGACAGTAAAGGTCTGTGAGACTCTCATCTCCAAGTAACCAGCAAAAAGCCAGAAGGGGAGCTTGTGACCCAAGTGATAGAGCACTACCCTTGAGCAAGAAAACTCAGGGACAATACCAAGACCCTGAGTCCAAGTCCCAGGACTGGCACAGATAGATAGATTAGATAGATAGATAGATAGATAGATAGATAGATAGATAGATAGATAGATGACTGGCTGAATCCTTGGTGTACATCTGTGGTAAAGGAAGTGCAAAACATGATGTTAGTCTGGGGGAGGGGGAGAGGTGAGATGTGGGGTAGTGGGGAAAGGGATGACTCAGATTGAAAGGCACTGGACACCTGGATGGACACGTTTGAAGTGTACAAAGTTAAATACATAAATAATAAAACAATAGTGACCGAGCCAGTAGGAGAGCACTTGCATAGCACGCATAAGGCCCTGGGTCCTATCCTCAGCATAGTAATTAATACTAGCAATAATAATAACAGTGCATGTGTTTAAGTATTTGCCACGTACCTTTCATGTACCTGTGTTTGGCTTACAATGACTCCACTTTTGTTTTTTCTTTGAGGCTGACGTGAGTGCCAGTAATGGAGCTTCAATTCAGGGCAGGGACATTGTCCCTTAGCTTTTTTGCTCAAGGTTAGCTTTCTTCAACAGAGGTGTGGGTGGGTGTGGCTCCGTGGTGGGGCTTGGCTCCACAGTGGGGCAAGAGGCTTGATACATCAATAGGCCATATGACACGGCCATTCAGTGCTGGCCTGGCAAACTTCAGGCCCAGAGTTCAAATCCCAGCTTTAAATATATATATATGTATATATACAGACAGAGAGAGAACAATATTGACCTCATTGGCTGGAACATTCTCGTTTAGAGCTTAGAGGTGCCATAGGAGAAACCTGCTCCAGGCTGCCATGTTGGAAGGAAGCCCAAACAACTCCAGGCTCTAAAGAGGAAAACTCTACACTACAACCACATAAGCAGCCTGAGCCAGAATCACCCCTAGGAGCCCTTCCCAGACCCCACCCACCCACAGAAACCTTGGAAGAGAACTGTTTAAAACCAATAGGTTGTTGTGATCAATATTTTTTTTTGCAGCAACACATAACTGATTGATAGCCCTTGGAAGAGGAAGGGGAAGGTTCTGGACTCTTTCCCTGGTTGTCTCAAGTTTTTTCTCTTGTGTTCCAGGACTCTGCTTTCTGCTAAGCCTGCCTGGAGCTATGACTCAGTATGCCTCCTGTGAGTACTCAGAGGTGGACAGGCAAGGGAAAGGACTAGGGCTGGAGCTGGGGGAATCGCATCCTCAAGCCGGAGGAACTGTGCAGGAAGCAATATGTGGGAAAGCTTGCTCGTGTTTGCTTGAGTGATCATTCTGTTCCATCTGGACCTTTCTTACTTTTTGTTTGATGTTCATATGTTTTTGTTAGCCAGAACAGGTTCATGTGGGTACATGGGTACAATGCAGAGAAAGAACAGTAGGTAAAATACAGTAATACTGGAGTAGAAGTGATAGAGCACTTGCCTAGCACATGTGAGGCCCCAGGTTCCATCCCCAGCTCTGTAAAATAGATACACATACATGCATACGTGCACACAGGCACACACATACACGTAAAGTCTCCTGAAGTAAATGTTCAGATGGGGAGAGAAAAAGCAAAGGTAATAATTATCATTCATGTCATAAACAACTCAACAAGTCATGGACAAAATCATTTCAAAGTAGTGTGTGTGAGAGAAAGGAAGGTCTAAGTACAAATTCTCTTCTGTTTTCTTTGATCAAATGTGTAATTGTTTTTGCACATTTAAAGTATATTTGTTTTATGAATACTGGTCCTGGGGCTTGAACTCAGGGGCTGGGCATTGCCCTTGAGCTTTTCTGCTCAAGGCTAGCACTCTACCACTTGAGCCACAGCTCCACTTATATATAGCTTTTTGCTGGTTAATTGGAGATGAGAGTATAATGAACTTCCCTGCCTGGTGTTGGCTTTGAAGTTCAATCCTCAGATCTCAACCTCCAGAGTAGCCAAGACTGCAGGTGTGAGCCACCAGCACTTAGCTTAAAATGTATTTTAACTAATCAAGCATTAAAAATATACATATGGACCTACCTGGGCACCAGTGGCTGATGCCTATAATCCTAGCTACTCAGTAGGCTGAGATCTGAGGATTGCAGTTCAAAGCCAGCCTGGGCAGAAAAGTCCATGAGACTCTGATCTACAATGAACCACTAAAACAACAGAAGTGGCGCTGTGGCTCAAGCGGTAGAGTGCTAGCCTTGAACTGAAGAGCTGAGGGAAAGCGCCCAGGCCCAGAGTTCAAGCCCCACAACCCACAAAAAAAAAAAAAATATGTGTGTGTGTGTCTGTGTGTATTTGGCTGGGAATATGGCCTAGTGGTAGAGTGCTTGCCTTGCATGCATGAAGCCCTGGGTTTGATTCCTCAGTACCACATACACAAAAGAAGCCAGAAGTGGCACTGTGACTCAAATGGTAGTATGCTAGCCTTGAGCAAAAGAAGTTCAGGGACAGTACCCAGGCCCTGAGTTCAAGCTCCAGGACCAGCGATGTATATATTCACACACACACACACACACATATATTTATGGAGTACCCTGTGCACAATTAAGTTCAAATCAGAATAAACGTTTCTATTTCCTCATTTATCTTCTACAATAAACTATGGACAAGCTAGGCGCCGGTGGCTCACGCCTGTAATCCTAGCTACTCAGGAGGCTGAGATCTGAGGATCACAGTTCAAAGCCAGCCTGGATGGAACAGTCCATGAGACTCTGATCTCCAATAAACCACTAGAAAACCGGAAGTGGTGCTGTGGCTCAAACAGTAGAGCGCTCATCTTAAGCTGAAGAACGCAGGGACAGCGCCCAGACCCAGAGTTCAGGCCCCACGATGGACAAAAAAATAAAATAAAACAAAAAACAAAAACTATGGACAGCCTCCTCTGGGAAAGCTGAGCCAAGCCCCTTCCACAAAGCCCTGTCCCGTCCTATGAGCCACAGCTCCAGTGCTTCAAATCATAGTTGACTCTTGCTACATAATATGAACTTCCCAAAATTAATCCTCAACTCACATTCTAGCAAAGCAATTAATCGGAAAGACCACAAAGGAGGAAGCAACAATGCTCAATAGGAAGTGTACTCATTACCTTGCTCATGTAACTGTAATCCCTCTGCACAACATTTCTACAATAAAAGAAAGTCCAGCCGGGCTGAGGATCGCGGTTCAAAGCCAGCCCGGGCAGGAAAGACCGTGAGACTCCTATCTCCAATAAACCACCAGAAAACCGGAAGTGGCGCTGTAGCTCAGATGGTAGAGCGCTCGCCTTGAGCTTAAGAGCTGAGGGACAGCGCCCAGGCCCGGAGTTCAAGCCCCACGACCGACAAAAAAAAAAAAAGAAGAAAGTCCAAAAAACAAAACAACAAGAATCTGAACAGACCAGGACCTTTGCCCAAATCTAGTTAGTGGTAGGCCCAGAATCAAATCTAGTCACTGTGTTGGTCTGGGGCGTGGCTCAAGTGATGGGCGTGGCTCAAGTGGTGGGGCGTGGCTCAAGCGTGGGGGCGTGGCTCTAATCATAGGGTGTTGAGTGGTTGGTGGGGGCGTGGCTGACGCGGGGGCGTGGCTTGAGTGGCAGAGCACCTGCCACGCAAGCAGTTCGAACTCCAGTGTGCCTAAAGGAGAAGCGCATTGGGCTGCGGGGTGTGGAAGGCTATCCCTGGGCCTTTTTATTTTTGGTGCGTATAAATCAATTACACAATAGAGTTTCAATAGAGTTTCCTTCTGCTATGTCCGTACATGTGTCCAGCATGCTGGGACCAAATTCATCCGCTCTATTAGTTTTTCTCCTCTGTCTGTCTGTCTCTCTTTCTGTCTCTGTCTCTCTTTCTCTCTGTCTCTCTCTGTCTCTGTCTCTCTGTCTCTCTCTCTCTTGCTCGCTCTCTCTCTCCCTCTCTTTCTCTCTCTCTCTCAAAGTAATAGCTCCAAAATTGTGACTCAAGAGAAACAAGCCGACCCGTGGCTGACGTGGCTGCCTTTCGCTCCCTCGCAGACGCTTGCTCCTGTCCCCAGCATGCTTCCTGTGTCAACAGCACGGCCTGCACCTGCAACCCCGGGTACACTTCCAGCTCTGGGCAGAAGATCTTCACCTTCCCCTTGGAAACGTGTGACGGTAAAGGAGTCACCAACAGGAGGGGAAGGAGGGCGTCCCCAGGGCTGTGGGAAAGAGAAATTGCAGAGAAGAACAATGCTATAATAATGATAATAATAATAATCATCATCATCATCATCTACCTATGTAAACCTCACCAAGAAAGAAGCGCCAGATTCTTGTAGAATCTGGCAAGCTCTCAAACTCCTTTTCTCCCCTATCTTGTGAGGATAGTTATGCCAACTCCATGAAGTGGGATCAGATCATGAATAAAACACTGCTTCCTGAGTGATACAGCCTGGTGCAGGGCTGGAGGCATGGCTCAGGCAGGAGAGGGCCAGCCAAGCAAGCAAGCAGAGCAAGCGTGTAGACCTGAATTGAAGTCCAGAATTTCATCCCCTCCCAAAAAAAAAAAAAACAGAAAAGAAAAGAAAAAGAAAGCATGGCACAATTGTTTTCTCAAGTAAGGACAAGGATTGGGCACTAAGATATGTCACTGAAAGAAAAAAAAAGCCAAGTTCTTCATGGTGTCTCACACAATCAGAATATTATGTATCCCTGAAGAAGAATGAAATCCTGACCTGTGCAACCAAGTGGATGAAACTGGAAGGCATTGTGTTAAGTGAAGCAGAAAGCTGGGTAGCACATGCTCTTTTGTAAATGGGAGAAACTAAAAAAGAAAATTCAACATGAAAGGAGGTGCAATACCTACGTGCATCCAATCATATAAAATAGTACTTACTGAGATTAACCCAGGAAATGGAAATGAGGGTTTTTTTCTTTGTTGCTGTTTTGTTTTCTTTTCTTCTCATCTTACTCATTTATCTGTCCCTGGGAGGCACAGGAACAGAGGGGCAAAGGGTGAACAAAGGCAGCATTGGTGCTCACTAGACACTATGTTGAAAATGAACTATACAACTTGTGAATGGGGATGGGAGGGAAAAACTGGGAGAGAAGGGGTGAAATTGTCCCAAAAAAAGTACTCAATACCTCACTTATGTAACTGTAACCACTCTCTATATCACCTTTATAATAACAATAGTAAAATGATGAGGGAGGAGAAAAGAAAACTCAACACGGAAACAGAACAATGCTGGAAAGGTGAGCTAAGGTAAAATTGGGAGAAAATGGGAGAACATGATCAATTCATGAGCATATTTGGAGATATCACAGTAAACCTCATTCGTCTGGCTAACAAATATTAATTTTTCAATTCACAGTTTAGAATGGTTGTGCATGCTTGTAATCCTAGGTACTTAGAAGGCTGAGCACTGAGGATCAAGGTTCAAAATCAGCTGGGGTAGAAAACTCCTTGAATGTTTTCTCTCCAATTAACCGCCAAAAAGACAGAAGTAGAGCTGTGGGTCAAATTGTCAAGCGCCAGCCTTAAGAGGAGAAAAAACAATCTCAGGGCCCAGGTTCGAGTCCCAAAATCAGCATAAAAAGGAAAAATGCAGTGTGAGTATTCTGCTTGGTTACCGGGGAACTTTCGTGCTTGGATTCCAGATGTTGATGAGTGTGCACCTCCTGTGAGCATGGATTGTGGACCAAATGCCCAGTGCCACAACCTCAAGGGGACCTTCGAATGCCGCTGCATGGCTGGATTTGAACTGGCCTCCGGTGGTGTGCAGTTCAAATATTCCAAGGAGAACACTTGTCACAGTGAGAGAATTGGGGTCTTCTTGCTTCCTTTCCTCTTTTCCTCTTCATTGAGTCTGCCAGAATTCACGTTGATGCTATGGAAGGGAGGAAAAAAACATAAACAGTACAATTTTTTTTTTTTTTTAAAGCCGGGTGCCAGTGGCTCACGCCTTCATCTACCCACTCAGAGGCTGAGATCTGAGGATAGTGGTTCAAAGCCAGCCAGGGCAGAAAAGTCTGTGAGACTTTTATCTCCAATAAACCACTAGAAAACCGGAAGTGCCGCTGTGGCTCAAGTGGTAGAGTGCTAGCCTTGAGCAAAAGAAGCTCAGGGACAGTGTCCAGGCACTGAGTTCAAGCCCCAGGAGTGGCAAAAAAGAAACAAAACAAAAAAACTTCTTGCTTCCATTTCTTGGAGTTTATTTCGATAAGCATCATTTTATAAGATCATATGCACATAGTTATTGAGCCCTTGTGACCCTCTCCTAAAACTATCTTCCTTTGTTCTCACTGTGTGAATGTTTAGAGTGCTGTTTAATTAACCAATTCCAGGTATATTTATTTATCTTTTACTATCCACTGGGTTTACTTGTGGATTTATATGCACACTCTAGTTATTACAAATGAAGGAAATTATGCAGCTTTGGGTCTGGCTGACTTCATTTAGTATAATTTTTCCAAGTCTTCCATTTTCTTATGAATGGGGTAATGTCATTCTCTCTAATGGAAGCATAGAATTCATAGATAGACAGGCAAGCAGGCAGGCAGACAGATAGATAGATAGATATCACAGTTTCTTGATCCATTCATCTACTGAGGGGCATCTGGGTTAATTCTATATCTTGGCTCTGGTAAAGAATACTGCAGTGAACATGGTTGTGCTGGTGGCTTTAGCACAGCCTGGTTTGTGGTCATGTATATAAATGGAACAGAGAGAGCAGGAATTCAAATCCAGCAGAAGGTGGGTGGAGGTGGTAGGCAGAAGACACATGCCAGGCCTATAGCTAAGTCAGAAACCTTGCCTGACACCAAGGCACCCCCAAACTCTGAGGCTGACATTCCCTAAGAACCAATAATGCAGAGCCAGGCATCACAAATAGAGCTACACTCGCAGCTCCACGTGCAACCACGGCTGCCCTTGAAGCCATCCAAAGGGAGATTAGTTAACTGACTCTCAGAATCACGTAAATTCTGGTTTATTTGGTTTTGACTTTTGTTTTCTTGTGGGTTTGTTTTTTGTTTGTTTGGAATATGCCAGTCCTGGGGTATGAACTTGGGGGCTGAGTGTGCTGTCCCTTAGCTTTTTCACTCAAGGTTGGCATTCTACCATTTGAGCCACTCCTCCACTTCTTGCTTTTAATTGGTTAATTTGAGATAGGAGTCTCACAGGCTTTCCTGCCCATGCTGGCTTTGAACCTGGAATCTCAGATCTCAGCCTCCTGAGTAGCTGAAGTTACAGGTATGAGTCACCAGCCCCCGCCTCCAGAAAGAGACTTTAAAGCTAAACTCTCACAAACTGGTTCCGTTAAAAAATAAAACTGCTATTCTACTTTATACCAGAAGCCATGCATTACCCTAATAACTAACCATGTCGGGTTTTTTTTTGTTTGTTTGTTTTTTGTTTTTGTCGGTTGTGGGGCTTGAACTCTGGGCCTGGGCGCTGTCCCTCAGCTCTTCAGCTCAAGGCGAGCACTCTACCACTTGAGCTACAGCGCCACTTCCGGTTTTCTGATGGTTTATTGGAGATAGGAGTCTCACGGTCTTTCCTGCCCGGGCTGGCTTTGAACCAGCATCCTCAGATCTCAGCCTCCTGAGTAGCTAGGATTACAGGCGTGAGCCACCAGCGCCCGGCTAACCATGTCGTATTTTATTTAAAGTATTCAGATGAAGGAGTAGCATTTCTATTGCCAATTAAAATAAAATAAAATAATTAAGCCAGGCACCAGTGGCTCACACCTGTAATTCTAGCTACTCAGGAGGCTGAGATTTGACAATGCAGTTTGAAGCCAGCCCAAGCAGGAAAGTCTGTAAGACTCTTATCTTGAATTAACTACCAAAATGCTGGAAATAAAGCTGTGGCTCAAGTGGTAGAGCACTAGCCTTGAGCACAAAGAGGCTCAGAAACAGCACCCAGGTCCAGGGTTCAAGTCCTAGGAGAAGGCACAAAAAGAAAAACAAAAACTAGCATGGTGCCAGTGGTTCACATCAGTAATCTTAGCTCTTCAGGAAGCTGCAGTCCAGAGGACTGTGGCATGAAGCAAGTCCCAAAGACTTCATCTCCAATTAAACAACAAAATAAAACTGGCTGGAGGGCATGGCTCAAACGGTAGCGCCAGCTGAGCAAGCGTGAGACCCTGAGTTCCATCCTCAATACCACAGGGGAAAACAAGTAAGGCACATGTGCCACCCTAGGATGAATGAGGAGCTCAAGCTTTGAACCCCTATCCCCAACAAAAACAGTGTCGGTGAAGACAGAGTACAAACAATGAAGATGAATGATATGAATATATCATTATACAAATTGCAATGAGGATCAATTGTAATGGTGATTGAAAGCAGAGTGTAAGTCCAGATTTTGCAGATGGAGAATTGCCTAGCCAGCCACCTGGGCACCGGGTCCAACAGTAACTGCTCTCCATGTGTTGCAGAGACCAACTCCTCAAAGGCAGCTCAGGGCCACCAACAGGTGAGCAACACTCACTGGTCCCCGGAACCCAGCAGGAGACAGAGGCCAGGAAACGAGTACTGACAAAGTCCCAAGCTGGCAAGAGGAGGGATGGACAGATGGATAGATGTACAGGCAGATCAATGGATGGACAGACAGACAGACAGACAGACAGATAGATAGAAGAATAAGTAGAATGTACACAATAGTTGATAGATAATGTTACACGTTATAAACATGATGTATTATTATCTGCCAATAATATTATATTCCACATTATTTTATTATACATACTATGATGTAATGCATAATGATATCATATACTACTCAATCCATATGATGTCAGCCAGGTCTGGTGGTGCAATACCTGTAATGCCAGCACTAAGGAGGCTGAGGGAGAAGGATCGTGAATTTGAGGCCAACTGGGGCCATTATCTGAAACCCTGCCTGAGGAAAAAAAACACATATGTGTTATTTCATTATACAATATTACGTGATTATATGATCGGTTATACATTTTTACGTGACTAACATTCTTAAAGCAAAATTCTACATGTCATGAATTGCAGTGTTATACATATCATAATACTTTTCTGTTGATATGATGATTTATGACTTAGACACACACATACACATTTATCATGTGTCACGTGTCACTGCATGTACACACACGTAGATGAATACACACGTATACACACTAGATAAATAGATACAAACGTGACTGTGAGTTAGGGCACACAGATTATTCACAAAACTGTTCAAAATTCTTCGACTTGCTTCTGTGTTTGGCTCTCTACGTCCCCTCTTCCTGCCACCCAGAGCCCTGTGATTCTCTTAACAGAAATAAAGCACAAAACTAGCTTAATAAACCGGGCACCAGTGGCTCACGCCTGTCATCCTAACTACTCAGGAGAGTGAGATCTGAGGATCATGGTTCAAAGCCAGCCCAGGCAGGAAAGTCTGTGAGGCTCTTATCTCCAATAAAACCACCAGAAAACTGGAAGTGGCGCTGTGGCTCAAGTGGTAGAGCACTCGCCTTGAGCTGAAGAGCTGAGGGACAGCGCTCAGGCCCAGGGTTCAAGCCCCATGACCGACAAAAAAAAAAAGTAACAAGGCCCATTTAAATTCAAGAATTTTGGAGGATTTTTTGTTTGTTTTACAACTTGTAATCGTTATCGCCATTGTCATAGCTCATAAAGCTACTTAGCTCATAAATGTAGCTCACAAAGAATTAAATGTAGCCTGGCATTTGCCTATAATCCTAGGGACATGGGAGGCTGGGAATGGAAGGATTCAAATTGGAGGCCAGCCAGAGCATGCTCCCTACCTCACCCCGTAGCTGGGCGCAGTGGCTGAAACCTGACATCCCAAACTGCACGGGAGCCGGAGACTGGGTGGACAGGAAGACTAGAGCAGTGCTACCTGAAAAGTCTGTGAGAGGGGCTGGGAAGGCGGCTCAGTGGTAGGGCGCTTGCCTGGCACGCCTGAGGCCCTAGGTTCGATTCCTCAGCACCACATAAGAAAAAAGAAAAAAGCCGGAAGCGGCGCTGTGGCTCAAGTGGTAGAGCGCTAGCCTTGAGCTGAAGAGCTGAGGGACAGCGCCCAGGCCCAGAGTTCAGGCCCATGACTGGACCCAAAAAAAAAAAAAAAGTCTGTGAGACTCCATCTAGAAAGTTGGACCCAGTGATTCATGCCTGTAATCCCAGCATGACAGGAAGCCCCCAAGGAAGTGCTCTACCACTTGAGCCACATCTCCAGCCCTCCCCCGCTTTTTTAAACCTTTTTACTTTAGTTGTTTTCCAAGTAGCATGCTGAATGTTTCACCTCAGACCAGCCTCAAACACAATCCTTTCCCCTATGCCTCCCGTGCAGCACCACACTACTCCCAGCTTCTCCGTTAAGATGGGGGGGATCCTAACGGGGGGTCCCCCACTTTTTGCCTGGGGCTGGGCTCAACACATCGATCCACCCAGTCTCCACCTCCTGAACAGCTGGGATTAAAGGTGTGCTCCACCGCACCTGTCCACATTCGATTGATAAAATAAATGTTCTTTGTGACTTCAAAGCTGCAGGAAATTGTCAACAAGTTCGAGTCACTACTCACCAATCAGACTCTGTGGAGAAGAGAGGACAAACGGGAACTCGCCTCCGCAGCGTCATCCCTCCTCCAGGATGCAGAATCTAGTGTTCTCGAAGCAGCCTTGAAAACCCCACGGCGAAAAATCCAGGAAGCCTTCAACAGGACTCTGGGTAAGTTGAAGATGATTAGCCAGGGATCTCTGCTAAATAATTGGAAAACAGACAAGAGAGGCAGCGCATGCGCCCATCGTTGTAAAAAGGGAGACAACGCAGACCTCGTGCGGTGAGAGGAGGTGGAGGGGCAGAGGAGGACCAGGGGATGGGGGAGGGGGATATTTGGGGGAACCATGGGAATCAAGGAAATGTGCACAATACTGCAATTGTGTGAGGCTGCACAGGGGTTAACTTCACAAATAGTACAGTTGGGCAGTTTCTTGGACATTAAATTGGACCACAAACTGGGCGCCGGTGGCTCACGCCTGTCATCCTAGCTACTCAGGAGACTGAGGTCTGAGGATCACGATTCAAAGCCAGCCCGGGCAGGAAAGTCTGTGAGGCTCTGATCTCCATCAGAAAACCGGAGGTGGCGCTGTGGTTCAGGTGGTAGAGCGCTTGCCTTGAGCACAGAGAGGCTCAGGGACAGAAACCAGGCCCAGCGACACCCAACTCTAAAATATTCTTGCTTGCCGGTATGCTATCCTGTTATTCCCCTTTTTTAACCTTTGTGACGTGTACAGAAGAGACAAAGCAGAACGTTAATGCCCCCAACTTGACAATTTCCTATTCCTAGTCACGCTTCATCTTGTCTGGTTTTGTGGTTGTGTCACTAAGGATGGAACCCGGGCCCTTCACATGCTGGGAAAGTTCTCTCTAGCACGGAGCTACCCCTGCCCCAGCCCTCTGCTGTATTTTATTCTCATATCTTTTTTATTTCTGACAGTACTGGAGTTTGAACTCAAGCCTTGCTTGCACTTGCTAGGCTGGTGCTCTATCGCTGAAGCCACACCCCCTACTGAGCCACGCCCCCAGGCTGAGTCAGGCCCCTAACCCTTAGGCCACACCCCCTGCTGATGAGCCACGCCCCCAACACCTAAGCGATGGCTTAGGTGGCACTGAGCCACGCCCCCTGGCCTAAGCCACGCCCCTTGGCCTAAGTCACACCCTCGCTCTGGGAGCCACGCCCCTACCTCTGCCGCTTCATTCTCTTTTTTTTCTTTTTTTCTTTTTTTTTTTTTGGTCATGGGCCTGAACTCGGCCTGGGCGCTGTCGCTCAGCTCTTCAGCTCAAGGCTAACGCTCTACCACTTGAGCCACAGCGCCACTTCCGGCTTTTTTTTTCTGCTTATGTGGTGCTGAGGAATGGAACCCAGGGCCTCATGCATGCAAGGCAAGCGCTCTACCACTGAGCCACCTTCCCAGCCCCTCTCTTTTTTTTCAATGAAGACTTGGATCCCCTCAACCAAGGGAACCTTTGTTAAACACCCAGGTAATTCCTCATCTCCTCACCATTATTCCCCGTCCTGTCTTGTCCTTAAAGCTGTCCCTCTTTGTCCGTAATTGCTTTTGGAGAATAAATGCCGCGTGCCTGTATCACTAGGCAGGGGCAGGGAGATTGCAAGGTGGAGGCCAGCTAGGCATGGCTACAGAAACCCTAGCTCGGGCTGGGAAGGTGGCTCAGTGGTAGAGCGCTTGCTTTGCATGCCTGGGGCCCTGGGTTCGATTCCTCAGCACCCCATAAGCAGAAAAAAAAAAAGCCGGAAGTGGCGCTATGGCCCAAGTGGTAGAGCGCTCGCCTTGAGCTGAAGAGCTGAGGGACAGCGCCCAGGCCCAGAGTTCAGGCCCCACGACCGGACCCAAAAAAACAAAAACAGAAACCCTAGCTCATAGACATAAAACTAACTGGCTGGGGGGGTGGGCACGACTCAAGAGGTAGAGCCTTTGCTTGCATGTGAGATGCCCTGGTTACATTCCCAAGATTGGGGGTTGGGGGAGGAAGCAAACGGTTACAGCCTCGCTTAATTTCTGAACGCCATTTCCCGCTTGTGTGAAACAATGGTTCCTCCTTGAGCCTTAGGAGGACGATGTGAGACGCCATTTATAACTCACTGCCTGGACCATCACAGACTCCTTGTAATAGGAGCCTTTGGTGTTCCTCACTGGCGACAACTCAATGTGTGTGTGTGTGTGTGTGTGTGTGTGTGTGTGTGTGTGTGTGTGTGGATCATAGGCCTTGAACTCTGGGCCTAGGCTCGTCCCCAGGCTCCTTTTGCACAAGGGTAGCATTCTACCATTTTAGCTACACCACCATTTCACCTACATCTCCACGTCAGGCTTTGCTTTTGTTTTCCTGTCCTTAATTGGAGATAAGAATCTTAGGGACTTTCCTGCCCTCCTGAGTAGCTAGGATGACAGGTATGAGCCACCGCTTCCCAGCTCAGCAGTGACAACTCATATTTATTTGAATACTTATGGAATTACTGTTTACTGTACAGTCAAGCAAATGAGACTCAGCTACCTTTAGAAGCTTTTTATACTGTTAACTGCTGCCTTCCTTCCCAGCTGTTGCCACACAGACCGTTGGGGACAAATGTTCTGAAGAAAGAAAGGTGTTCACATTAGATGTGCACATGAACTCCATGCAGGTCCATTGTGATGATGTCATCGAGGAAGACGCGCAAGGTTGGTGTGACCGCAGCCGTCCCAATCCTTCCTACATCCAGAGATGCCCCGGGGAAATGCATCCCATGGGCTCCTGCCTGGCAGCATGCTCACCCTCAGACTGGGTATCTTTTCCTTTAATAATAATAATAAATTTATACTAAAAAAGAATTACAGTAGCCCTGTAGCTGAAGTGGTAGAGTGCTTTCCTTGAGCTGAAGAGCTCAAGGACAGCGCCCAGGCCCAGAGTTCAGGCCCCATGACCAACCAAAAAAAGAAAGAAAGGAAGGAAGGAAGGAAGAAGGAAAGAAATCCCTTTCATATTTGGGCTGGGAAGGTGGCTCAGTGGTAGAGTGCTTGCCTTGCATGCATGAAGCCCTGGGTTCGATTCCTCAGCACCACATAAACAGAAAAGGCTGGAAGTGGCGCTGTCGCTTAAGTGGTAGAGCGCTAGCCTTGAGCTGAAGATCTGAGGGACAGCGCCCAGGCCCAGAGTTCAGGCCCCACGACCGACAAAAAAATGAAATAAAGAATTACCCTGAAATTTAACTAATAATAATAACTAAAGTAGCCAGGGATCAGTGGCTCATGCCTAAAATCGTAGCTACTCAGAGGCTGAGCTCTGAGGACCCTGGTTCAAAGCCAGCCGGGCAGGAAAGTCTGTAAGACTCTTATCTCCAATGAACCACCAGAAAACCAGAAAAGATGCTATGGCTCAAAGAGGTAGAGCGCTAGCCTTGAGCAAAAAAGATCAGAGACAGCACTCAGGCCGTGAGTTCAAACCCCATGACCGACAAAAACATAAATAATAATAACAGTAATAATAATAATAATAATAAGTACCTGACTGGGGGCGTGGCTCTGCAGTGGGGGCACTGCCACTGCACCTAATTATGGGTCGAGAAGGGATCCCCTGAACAATTTTGGTGGCTGGCATCAAACCACATATTCCCATTCTCATTAGAGGTTTTTTGGGGTGTGGAGATGGAACCCAAAGTTCCAGGAATGCTAAACACTAGGCAAGGGGCTGGGAAGGTGGCTCAGTGGTAGAGCGCTCGCCTTGCATGCCTGAGGCCCTGGGTTCGATTCCTCAGCATTCCATAAGCAAAAAGAAAGAAGCCGGAAGTGGCGCTGTGGCTCAAGTGGTAGAGCGCTCGCCTTGAGCTGAAGAGCTGAGGGACAGCGCCCAGGCCCAGAGTTCAGGCCCACGACCGGACCCAAAAAAAAAAAAAAAAAAAAGAACACTAGGCAAGCTGCTCATACCACCAAGCCATGCTGCCTATTGCCTAGCCACGCCCCTACCGCCGAGCCACGCCCCCACCACTGAGCCACGCCCCCACCACTGAGCCACGCCCCCACCACTGAGCCACGCCCTGATTAAATCATACCTCCTACTCAGAAGTTCCATCCCCACTGCCAAGCCAAACGCCACACTGCCAAGCCACGCCCCCAAAGATTAGCCACGCCCTATGGATAAGCCACTCCCTCACCTGCTGCTGAACCACACCCCTACCAGAAAGCCACGCCCCACCGCCAAACCACAACCCTATGGCTGAGCATGCCTCCCATTAGGCCACGCCCCCAGGACAGAGCCACGCCCCTGCCGTCTAAGCCACGCCCTCTATCCAAACACTTTACAAAGAGATCCCATTTTCTGTTTCCTCAGGCCCCAGCGCCATTGCCTTTATCTCCTATTCTTCTCTTGGACACATCCTCAATGAAACTTTTTTTGAAGAGACAGAGATGCTCCAACCCACTTCCCTGGACTTCCAAGAGAAGATGGAGGAGGACGAGCCCTTGTACCTGAACTCCCAGATAGTGAGCGCAGCCCTGGGATCCAGCTCCGGCCGCAGGGGCTCCTACCTCCCCGGCTTCGTCACCCTGACCCTGCAGCATGTGAAGGTGGGTGCCAGCTGCCAGGAGCCCTGGCAGTGCGCTTGCTATGCAAGCAACCCGGCAGATGGGAGTCCATTTTGGGAAGACTTAAATCCTGTCCTGGTACCCAGCGGGGAGGGGCGGTTGCCAGGGCAACCTGCAGGTACATCCCTGGCTGTGGAAGAACCTTAGGTGAAACACTATCGCATTTGCATAGAACCCTCACAATCCTACTTTAAATAGGGGCTCCTAGAGTGGCTCAGGCGGAAGTGGGCGTGGTTCTGGTGGAGGTGGGCGTGGCCTGTCGACGCGGGGCGTGGCTCCCCTGGTTTGGGTGGGGGTCTGGCTCAAACCAGTAGAGTACCTGCCTAGCAAGAACAAGGCCCTGGGTTCAAATCCCAGTGCCACCACAGAAACTAAGAATTCCTGATGGGATGTCAATGCAAATGACTGCTATACCAAGTCATTCTGGGGATAGTGACCAGAAAGAACTCTGGACATTTTCAGCACATATACAACAAATATTGTGTATGGATATGGCTATGATTTGATCCTTACACAACGTATACCTACACCAAAAGAAAGCACAATATATTCCATACCTGTGTATAATTCTTTATTTGGGGGGGGGGAGTCCGGTTGTGGGCCTGAACTCTGGGCCTGGGCGCTGTCCCTCAGCTCTTCAGCTGAAGGCTAGCACTCTACCACTTGAGCCACTTCCAGCTTCTTTCTTTTTGCTTACGTGGTGCTGAGGAATCGAACCTAGGGCCTCAGGCATGCAAGATAAGCGCTCTACCACTGAGCCACTTCCCAGCCCCATGTGTATAATTCTTATGTGTCCATTATAAACTTTTTTTTTTTTGCATGCTGGAACTCAGGGCCTGGGCGCTGTCCTTGAGCGATTTCACACTCTACCACTTGTGCCACAGCTAAGCTTCTGGTGTTCTTGGAGATAGGAGGCTGGGGGTGGGGGAGCTGGGAAGGTGGCTCAGTGGTAGAGCGCTTGCCTCACATGCATGAGGCTCTGGGGTCGATTCCTCAGCACCACATAAGCAGAAAAATAAGCCAGAAGTGGCGCTGTGGCTCAAGTGGTAGAACACTCTCCTTAAGTGGAAAAGCTGAGGGACAGCACTCAGGCCCAGAGTTCAGGCCCCATGACCGACAAAAATAAAGAGTCTGCCGGGCTGGCTTCAAACCCAGATCCTCAGATCTCAGCCTCCCGAATAGCTGGGATGACAGGCGTGAGCCATCCTTGATTGTGACACTTCATTCCATGCAGTAGAGGGCACGTGTGACCCCTGACCCGTGTGCCCTCGCCCAGACATTGCCAGGAACAGGGCCCCGCATCCTTTCTGTTTCCAGAAGAACCCTCGCAGCAGAAGGACCCTGTGCGTGTACTGGGCAGCCACCGGTGCGGGCGGCCACTGGGACACAGCTGGTTGTTTCCTGGTCAGCGTGAACGGAAGTCACACCGTGTGCAACTCCACTCACCTGTCCAGCTTCGCTGTCCTCATGGCCTTGACCAATCTGGTATGGTGCACGCGCTTAATGCCTCCCCTAATGCAGCAGGACCTCAGTACCCTGGTTGATATTGGTTCTACCCAGGGACCAAAACCTAAGGATGCTCAATTCCTCCATGCAAAATGACGTCATAATGTCACATAGCCCAAGGCACGCCCTCCTTCTAGACTTCTCCATCACCACAAACATGACCTAGGATCCCTGTTAAGACGGAAATGGGGGGAATCGTGGTCACATTGTCCTACTCAGGGAATCACAGCAAGGGAAAACCTCCCATGGACTCAGCAGAGTCCCAGATTTTTGCATGTGTGCCGGTCCTGGGGCTTGACCTCCAGCCTGGGTGCTGTCTTCAGTGATTCACTCAAGGCTAGTGCTCTACCACCTAAGCCACTCCAGCTTTTTGATGGTTCACTGGAGATTAAAAAATAAAAAATAAACTTTCACAGACTTTTCCTGCCCTGGCTGGCAGCGAACCGCCATGCTCGGATCTCAGCCTCCTGAGAAGCGGGGATGGCAGGCGCGGCCGCCAGCACCTGGGTTTTTGGAGTTTTTATAACGCTTTTTCATTTGCTTGATTTCTGCTTTTGGACACAGGGCCACACGATGTGACCTGGGCTGTCCTCACGTTGCAATCCTCCTGCTTTAACCCCCTGAGCTGGTACTACGTGTGCGCGCACCCTCTCGGCCAGCTATGAAAATGCACTTAGGCCAAAACAAGCCTCATGCCAAAGTGCCATGTTTACATGGGTCGCATATTCTCTCACCGTTATGCCCACTCATTGATGAGCATCAGAATTGTCCACATTAGCGACATGTCATCGGAATACACATGTTTGCTGGAAGTGGTGCTGTGGCTCAAGTGGTAGAGCGTTAGCCTTGAGCTGAAGAGCTGAGGGACAGCGCCCAGGCCCAGAGTTCAAGCTCCACCACTGACAAAAAAAAAATGCTGAGTAGGTGTGTGTGCATATATGGTGTCATGTGTGTGCTAACCATGTTCTTTGGCATGTGTTAAGTATATGTCAGTCGTATATATTCACTAGGCCTGCATCATTTGCATGTTAAATGTGTGTCCATTGCAGATATTAAATAGGTTATCTACCTACGTTACGTGTGTCATTTGCATATGTTACCTATCTGCTGCTTGCATGTTTTGTATTGGAACACAAAATGGGTATGTTAAGTGTGCCATGTGCATATGCTAAAATGTGTGTCATTTGCATTACCTAAGTATGTTATTTTCCATGTGTTAAGTATGTGCTATTTGCATGTGTAAATGTTATTTGCACCTGTAAATATGTTATTTGCATGTGTACGTATGTTACTTGCATGTGTAAGTGTGTCATTTGCATGTGCAAGTTTGCTATTTGCATGTATAAGCATATGTTGTTTGCATGTGTCAAGTGTGAGGCGTCTGCATGTATGAAGAAAAGGAGGGAAGCTTTTATCTGTGTGCACTTCCCGCCTCTTCACCGGCCTTCCTGCCTGGCATGGGGTAGTCTGGGGGGAGAGAGGCGGGCCCAGAACCTCACAGCAGGAACAGTGACCCAAACCTCTGCTCCGCCCCCTCCCAGGAGGCCGACCCCGCCCTGGCCCTCATCACCCAAGTGGGGCTCAGCCTCTCCCTGCTCTGCCTCCTCCTGGCGGCCCTCACCTTCCTCCTGTGCAGGGCCATCCGCAACCTCAGCACCACCCTGCACCTGCAGCTCTCCATCTGCCTCTTCCTCGCCCACCTCCTCTTCCTCACCGCCATCCACCGCACCGAGCCCAAGGTACCCACCGTGCCCCTCGGCCCCCAGGCCCCCTGCCCCGCCCAAGGGCGCACGGAGCCAGGCTGCCGCCTTGGACTGTGAAATGAAGTGGCCTCACAAGGGGCTCCTATAACAAGACGGACTTTCGATTTGAGCAAGGGACTGTATTTGGGGGATCCTGGAGATCCTGCATGCTTGCCAGGCAGGAGCTCTACCTTTTGAGCCATACCTCCAGCACTTTTGCTCGAATTATTTTTAGGATAGGGTCTTACTCCGCACCCAGGTTGTCCTGGACCTCAGTCCACCTGTTTGCATTTCCCACATAGCTGAAATGACAGGTACGCACCCAGCTATGGACTGAAGTGGAATCCCGGGAACCTTGACCTAGGCCAGCGTCAAACTGTGCGCCTCCTGATCTCAGCCTCCTGCATAACTAGGTTTAGAGGTGGTTGTCTCAACCCCTTGCTGTTGTGGCTGCTGCTGCTGCTGTTATCATTAGAGACAATGTAGCCCAGGTTGACCTCCATCTCCCCACCCCACCTCATCTCCCAGGGCTGGCATTCCAGACAACCACTGCGCCTCCCCCGCGTGAGGGAGAGACCACTTTCTGTAAACTTATGCCCTGGAATACTACTCAGCCTTCAAAAAGAAGGGACACCTGTTATTGATGACCACACCCTGTCCCTGGAAATGGTAGAGCTAGTGTCCCCACCACACGATGTCTAGACATGGGTCTAGACATTTTCAACCCACCAGGGGGAGACAGAGAGCTTCTGGATTTCTCTTCCAAATCTGCTCTTCTGAGTGGCTTTAAGTAAGCTCAGGACATTTTTATGTGGTTTTTAACATTCTGTGTTATTTTATCCTACGTTTAAATTGTTTCTCTGATAATAGTAATAATAGATGACCACCATTTGTTGTTAGAAGTCGCTGGGAGGGTTGATGAGGGGGACTGGTTTGGGGGTTTGTTTGATTTGGTTTTAGTGTGTATGTGTGTGCTGGTCCTGGGACTTGAACTCAGTGCCCAGGCGCTGTCCCTGAGTGTTATTACTCAAGGCTGGTGCTCTATCACTTGAGCCACAGGTACCCGGCCATGTTAAAAGCAGTTTCATAAGCCACCTCCCCTTCTCCTCTCCCCTTCTTCCTCCCCCTCCTCCCCTCCCTTCCTTCCCTCCTCCCTCCCCTCCTCCTTCCCCTCCCTTCCTTCCCTCCTCCTCCCCTCCCCCCCTCCCCCCTCCTCCTCCCCTCCCCCCTCCCCCCTCCTCCTCCCCCTCCTCCCCTCCCCTCCTCCTTCCCTCCTCCCCCTCCTCCTCCCCTCCTCCTCCTCCCTCCCTCCCCCTCCTCCTCCCTCCCCTCCTCCCCTCCCCTCCTCCCCTCCCCTCCTCCTCCTTCCCCTCCCTTCCTTCCCTCCTCCTCCCCTCCCCCCTCCTCCTCCCCTCCCCCCTCCTCCTCCCCCTCCTCCCCTCCCCTCCTCCTTCCCTCCCCCTCCTCCCCTCCTCCTCCCCTTCCTCCTCCCCTCCCCCCTCCTCCTCCCTCCCCCCTCCCCTCCTCCTTCCCTCACCCTCCTCCCCTCCTCCTCCTCCCTCCCCTCCCCTCCTCCTCCCCCTCCTCCCCTCCCCTCTTCCCTCCCCTCCTCCTCCCCCTCCTTCTCTCCTCATTCTCCTCCCCCTCCTCTTCCCCTCCCCCCTCCCCCTCCCCCTCCTCCCCCCCCCCCCCCCCGCAGGTGCTCTGCGCCGTCATCGCCGGCGCCCTGCACTACCTCTACCTGGCCGCCTTCACCTGGATGCTGCTGGAGGGGCTGCACCTGCTCCTCGCCGCCCGCAACCTGACGGTGCCGCACTCCTCGGGCGCGAGCGCGGTCACGAAGTGGCTCGTGTACCCCGCGGGCTACGGGGTCCCCGCCGTCGTGGTGGGCGTCTCGGCCGCCGCCAGGCCTCGGCTGTACGGATCCCCTGCGCGGTGAGCGCCCCGCGCGCCCCCAGACCCGCGCGGCGCCGGGCAGCGAGCTTGCCAGGGGCCCGGCCACGCCGGGGCCACGCCGGGGTCACGCCGGGGTCACGCCCAGACCCACGCCGCACCCGGGCAGCGAGCTTGCCAGGGGCCCGGCCACGCCGGGGTCACGCCCGGGTCACGCTGTAGTCTCCGCTGACCGAGAAACCGTGAGCCTCTGATCACAAATGAGCCGCCCAGAAGCCAAGGAGAGCGCTGGGCCCCGGGTGCAAGCCCCAGCAGCAGCACGAGAGCAAAGCGGCTGAGAGGGTTCTTTAAGGGGAGATTTGGGCCATTCGGACTCAACTTTCTCTCATGATCTGGAATGCTGAGGCCTCAAGAATCAAGCAAGGGCGCCGGGAAGGGGGCTCAGGGGTGGAGCGCTCGCCTCGCATGCCTCAGGCCCGGGGTTCGAGGCCTCAGCACCACATACACAGAAAAAGCCGGAAGTGGCGCTGTGGCTTAAGTGGCAGAGCGCTCGCCTGGAGCTGAAGAGCTGAGGGACAGCGCCCAGGCCCAGAGTGCAAGACCCACGACTGGACCCAAAAAAAAAAAAAAAAGGATCGCCGTTGTTTCCATAGTCCCAGCACTGGGAATCTAGTGCTGGCAAAAAAGTTTAAGGTGACACCAAGTGGCAGTAAGTGTCCTAGCCCGGGGTGTCATCCCCTGGCTTGAGGGAAGGATTAGAAAAGTTGTCAGACTGGAGAACGCATCTCTTACTTTCTCTGAGCTCTGTGTCTTCTTCTTCCATTGTTTCCAGCTGCTGGCTCCAGCTAGACCAGGGGTTCATCTGGGGTTTCCTTGGCCCGGTCTGTGTCATCGTGTCTGTGAGTATATGTCAACCCTGGGCATATGCCCCTGGGCATAAAATAACCCAAGAGAGCCAGCCATGGTGGCACAGGCCTGTAATCCCAGCCCGCAAGAGGCTGAGGCTGACCACGGACTCGAGGCCAGCCTGGTCTACGGAGTTAGGCCCTGTCTCAAGAAAGGATAGTGCAAGCCCCAAACATGGCCTAAGTTATCCAGCTGGACTTGTTCCATCTTGATGGAGGCAGAGTCGTGAGCAGTGGAAGACTGAGGTAGATTTGTGTGCAAGCAGATCTGTCTGCACGTGGTCATTGTTTCTCCTCACTTTGCCACGTTCTTCCTGCAGGTGAATTTAGTGTTTTTCATCTCCGTCCTTTGGATTTTGAAAAGGAAACTTTCTTCTCTCAACAGTGAAGTGTCAACCATCCAGAACACAAGGTAGGATGCAACAGGGGGGTCTTTCCACCCTCCCCTCCCTTCCCCTCCCCTCCATCCTGGCTCCATCCTCTGTCCATCCATATTCCTGGCTTACATGCAGTCCAAGTGGAGCCTGCTACACTTGCTCAAATCCCATTGGCTGACCTTAGTCACGTGCTGACACCCAGCCGCAAGGGAGGCTGGGAAATGTAGTCTCCCACTGGGTAGCGCCGTGGCTGGGCAAAAGGATTCTGAAAGGGAAGAAGAGAAAGGAGAAAATTGGCAGTTTCTGCCTCACAGTTCAAGGTGCATGAAAGAGTACTCCTTTGAGGGAGTGTGGATTTTGTGGTTGTTGTGGTTGTTGTTTGCAAGTACCCGAGTTTGAACTCAGGGCCTCACACTTGATTGGCTTGCTTGCTCCTGGCAGGCATAGGCGTTCTACCCCTTGAGCCACGCCTCCAGCTCAGCTTTTTGCTGGCTAATTGTAGATTACAGTCTCACAGACTTTCCTGCAGGGGTGGAATGCAAACCACAGTTCTCAGATCTCAGCCTCTTGTGTAGCTAGGACTCCAGGCGTGAGCCCCTAGCGCCCCACAGGTGATCTGTTTGTTTGTTTTTTAACCACACACTTCTGATGCCTCCCAGGATGCTGACACTCAAAGCAACAGCTCAGGTGTTTATCCTGGGCTGCACGTGGATCCTGGGCGTCCTGCAGGTGGGCCCGGCGGCGCGGGTCATGGCGTACCTGTTCACCATTGTCAACAGCCTGCAAGGCGTCTTCCTCTTCCTGGTCTACTGCCTGCTCAGCCAGCAAGTTAGCATTTTCCCCTTCCTTTGTTTATTCAAACTTAAAAAAAAGAAAAATGTGGGGCTGGGAAGGTGGCTTGGTGGTAGAGTATTTGCCTAGCATGCATGAGGCCCTGGGTTCAATTCCTCAGGACCACATAAGCAGAAAAAGCTAGAAGTGGTGCTCTGGCCCAAGTGGTAGAGTGCTCGCCTTGAGCAAAAGAAGCTCAGGAAGGAAGGAAGGAAGGAAAGAAAAGACAACATTTATTATAAGAGGCACCAATTTTTAATAGCTTTTGGCAAGTTGATTTATCAAGGATATTACAGGCTCCCGCCTGTCTTCCTAGCCACTCAGGAGGCTAAGATCTGAGGATCAAGGTTCAAAGCCACTTTGAGCAGGAAAGTCTGTGAGATTCTCCTTCTCCTTCTTCCCCCCATCCCCCCGCCTATGAACCAGAATCCTCAAATCTCAGCCTCCTGAGTAGCTAGGATGTCAGGCGGGAGCCACCCAGGCATTGGTATTTTCATTGTTTTTGTTTTTGTGCTGGTCTTGGAGCTTGAACTCAGGGCCTTGCACTGGTGCTTGGATTTTTTTGCTCAGGTCAGGTGCTCAGCCACTTAAACCACAGCTTCATTTCTAGCTTTTCGATGATTTAGTTGGAGATAAAGAGTCTCAAAGCCCAAGCTGGCTTTGAATCTTGATCCTCCAGATCTCAGCCTCCTGGATCAACAAGGATGCCAGGCGGGCGCCCCAGTGCTGCCTCATCCTGGTATTTTCTTTGACGTTCTAGGTCCGGAAACAATACCAAAAGTGGTTTACAGACATCACAAAACCAAAATCCGAATCTGAGACGTACGTGCTCTCCAGCAAGTCTGGCCGGGACACAAGACCCAGTACCACAGAGGTGAGGAAACCTGGGCCCCACGGCGGTCTCAGCTACAGCGCCCCCAGGAGTACTTGGGAATTGAACTCAAGACCTTACACACGCAAGGCAAATGCTCTACACACTAGCCCAAATGGTTGGTTGGTTCATTGCCTGCGTGACTAGTTGCTTAGTTAGTTGGTTTGTTTTTTGGGGGGCCTGTTTCTTTTTGTTTGGTTTTGTTGGTCTGTCATAGGGCTTAAACTCTGGGCCTGAGCGCTGTCCTTCAGCTCTTCAGCTCAAGGTGAGCGCTCTACCACTTGAGCCACAGCGCCACTCCTGGTTTTCTGGTGGTTCAATGGAGATCAGAGTCTCCTGGACTTTCCTGCCCGGGCTGGCTTTGAACTGTGATCCTCAGATCTCAGCCTCCTGAGTCGCTAGGCTGACCGGCGCGAGCCCCCCGCGGCAGTGCCCAGCTCCAAGAGGAATCTTACAATCTTCTGTGGAATGTTGGTTTTTTTTAAATTTTTTCAGACCAAGTGAGGAGAAAGCATTAAAACTAGAACATTCCATGATTCCATTGAGAAATCCACACCCACGAATCCTGCTGGCCCTGTGCGGAGTGGAGCTGAGGACGGAGGCTCACGGCGCATTGTATGACGGGAAGAAAGCCTCGAACCTCTGCTCCCGGCAGTGTTCGCTGGCCATGCTGAGCTCTCAGTAAACAGGTGTGGGGCTGACGTCTCTGTTATGACGTGTCTGGTCCATGCTTGCCCATGGGTACCCCAGCTGTGAGGGCCACAACAGCCCCTCCACTTTTTACTCTGTGTGTGTGTGTGCACACACACGCGTGCACACGCCGGTCCTGGGGCTTAAACTTTGGGCCTAGGCGCTGTACCCTTTGTCCTGAAGGCCGGCGCTCTACCACTTGAGCCATGCTCCACTTTCAGCTTTTTTGCTGGTTTCTTGGAGCTAAGGGTCTCATGGACTTTTCCTACCTGGGCTGGCTTAGGACCCACAGTCCTCAGATCTCAGCTTCCTGAGTAGCTGGGATTACACGCGTGAGCCACCAGGCCCGGCTGCCTGACTCATTAAGTTTTTGTCAGCATTCTCTCTCGGAACTGAATCTGGATGTTTTTCAGGTTTGGGGCAGCGATGTGCCTGGTTGAGGGCGGGGTTGGTTTAAACCAGGAGTTCTCCCCTGGAGGTGGGCTCCTCCTCCCCAGGGACCCTGGGAGGGGACCAGACACCTATTAGGTTGTCATTGAGATACTACAGAGATGGGCTGGGGGGGGTCGACCACCTCCCCCCAGTGTTGGTAGGGCTGACCTTGAAAACCTCTGGTCTGAGGTTGGAGGCGTGGCTCAGGTGGTAGAGCACCTGCCTTGAGCAGAAAAGCTCAGGGACAGGGCCCAGGCTCCAAGTTCAAACCTCAAGCCTCACACATGACAAAAATAATAATAGTAAGTGAAAACTATGCACTAAAATGACATTTTAGGAACTGCTACTATTGTAGAAAGACCACACAGATAACAAAGAGTTTTATTACATCATCATCAACAAGCTTGGTTTAGGCCGGGCACCAGTGGCTCACGCCTGTCATCCCAGCTACTCAGGAGGCTGAGATCTGAGGATCACAGTTTGAAGCCAGCTCGGGCAGGAAAGTCGGTGAGACTCTGATCTCCAATGAACCACCAGAAAACCGGAAGTGGAAGTGGCGCTGTGGCTCAAATGGCACTGGCCTTGAGCAAAAGAGTTCAGGGACAGCACCCAGACCCTGAGTTTAAGCCCCACAACGGACACAAAAAAATATCTAGGCTTATTTTCGACACAGTCTCTTCATGCAGTCCAAGGCTGGCTTGGACATCACAACCTCCCATGCATGCACTAGGACTACAGGCGTGCACCACCATGCTCAGACTTCATTGAACATCTTAACCCACACACACGCATCTCCAACACCTGTGGGCGGATACCTCCATCACCGTCCTGTGGGTGTGTCCGAGCCCCACGATGTATGGTGTGTGTGGAGGGAGGAGTTTACAGCTGCTCTGCCTTTCTAGAAGTTCTTTCAGGAAGGACAAGGTCTGATCTACCACCAAAGACAGGGCCACACTGCCCGTCACACTGGTCCTGTCTCGGTATGTCCTGGATGCTGCCAGAGATCAGTCAGGGAGGGGCGGCGGACCACGCCGCCACTGCGTTTCAGGTTCGGTGTGAGACTCCGCCATGCCCTGCTCTTCAGAAGCCGTGAGCCGAGAGCTCTGTGCAGCCAGCCGAGCCCCGGCCTCCTGCCAGCTTGCAACCAGAACCAGGTTGGAAACCGTTCTTGTCACGGGGTGACGGCGCAGGAGGGGCCAGGGGACCCCACTCTCCAGGATGGGGACCCCCAAGAGTTCAGGATCCCTGGCTTCAACAGGAGCACTTCCGCTCACAGATCCAATAGGTCGTCTTGGCACAAGAGAGGTCATTCCATGAGCCGCCCCTGTTCATGCTGGCACAGTCTTCCTCATGGCTATTGTTGGGTTCCTGGGGGTCCCAGAAACTGGGGAGAAGGGAGGGAGACTGTGAGCAAGAAAGAGGGGTGAACGAAGGAGGCCGGGGAGGGGAGTAATTTCAGTGCACCCCACAATGACGAAGTCAGAGCAATGTCAAGTTATCAAAACTCATAGAGCTGAAGCCGGGTGAGGTGGCGCACACATGTAATCCCAGCACTTGGAGGCCCTCGGGCAAGAGCCAGACTGCGCTACATGGTGAGGCCCTGTCTGAAAGGGAACAAAATAGAAGTGGCGGGCTGGTGGCTCACGCCTGTAATCCCAGCCGCTCAGGAGGCTGAAATCTGAGGGTCCAGGTTTGAGGCCAGCCCAGGCAGGAAAGAGCATCTATGACACTTTTATCTCCAATGAACCAGCAAAAAGCTGGAACTGGAGGCAGAGTGCAAGTGGTAGAGCGCCAGTCTCAAGAAAAAAAAAAAAAGCCAACACAAGCTCAAAATCCCAAATTCCAGCTCCACGACCAGCACATAGGAAAATAATGCGGTGAGATTCCACCACGCACAATGGCTCACACCTTTAATCACCTCGACTCAGGAGACTGAGATCGAGAGGACCGCGATTCAAGGCCAGCCCAGGCAGACAGGGAGACTTCATCTCAATCAATAAGCCAGGCATGACTGGATGCACCTAGCATCCAGCTAATGCCGGAGGCCTAGGGAGGAGGATGGGGATCCGAGGCTAGCCCAGGCAAAATTACAACACCCTACCTGAAATTTTCAAGTATGAAAGAGCTGAGAACTGGTTCCATAGCTCAAGGATAAGGTGACTACCTAGAAGTTGGACATCCTGAGTTCAAACCCCAATATAAAGAAAAGGAAAGAGAGAGAGAGCGCGCAGGCCGGGTGCTGGTGGCTCCCACCTGTAATCCCAGCTACTCAGGAGGCTGAGATCTGAGGGTTAAGGTTTGAAGCCAGCCCGGGCAGAAAAGACCCCATGAGACTCTTATTTCCAATGAATCACCAGAAAACAGGAAGTGGCGCTGTGACTCAAGTGGCCTTGAGCACAAAAAGATACAGGGGCAGCGCCCAGGCCCTGAGTTCAAGCCCCACAACCAACACAAAGGAAGGAAAGGGAAGGAGGGAGCAAATGAACGCACGGGGAAGGAACCATACAGGTGTGAAGTTCCAGCACGTAGGAGGCAGAAACAGGAGGATTGTAAGTCTGGCCTGGACTACATTCCCAGACAGACAGAGTGACTGACATAAAAAGCTCCGGGCTCAGCCACACCCCCATTTCCCGTCTCCTCCCTGTGATCAGGGTCCCCAGAGAAGACAGAGCCCCTCCCCCAACGCAGGACACCTGCCTGAGGGTGACGCGCGACCCGTCCAGCCACCGCCACTCCCCTTCGCGGTCCTTGTCACTCAGCCCCAGCCAGTACACCCGCGGGGAGCCGTGCGCCCGGGAGATAAAGTTCTGCAAGAAGCAATTTCCATTGTCGGTCCTCAAATCTCCCCCACGACCCTCAGGCGGGGACAGGGGGAGGAGGGGCCGGGCTTCGAGACACAAGGACACCCCCAAGGTGTGCAAAGAAGCACCCACAACTTCCCCCACTCTAGCCCCCAAGGACGGGGTGGGGCGGGAGGGGAGACCCGCAGGGCTTCTGTGCCCCTGAGTGGGATGAAGCGCAATGGGCCTGAAGGGGCGGGGCTTAGCGGGAGGCGGTTAGGCGATTGGAGGGTTCTCTTCATCAACAGAAGTGAGTGACATAAAATGAGAAAGAGCCAGCCCTCCCTGCTCTCCGGCTTCCAGGCTTGCTCTCTGACAACCCCCCCCACCCCCCCCACCCCCCCCCCCACTCCCCCCACCCCCACAGTGCCATCCTTCAGTGCCTGACACCGCCAGGACAAAGGCCCTGACCACAGCCAGTAGCCTCTCAAGCCGTAAAGCTATAGAAACCCTGCTTTCTTCATAAGGTTCCCAGATTCTGGTATTTTATTACAGCAATTGACCATGGGCTCTGTTCCTTTCTTTGTAAAGGGAACAATCATAGTGGTGACAATCCTCCAAGACGGAGAAGAGGGTGTTTGCCTAAAACACTCAGGGCTGGAGCTGGTCCACATCCAATACCGGGTAACATACTTTAGCAACAGTCAATTCTTTCCTTTTCATGCCAGGCCTGGGTTTGAACTCAAGGCCTAGGCACCATCCCTGAGCTTTTTCACTCAAGACCAGTGCTCTTCCACTTGAGCCTCAACTCTCCTTCTGGCTTTTTGCTGGTTAATTGGAAATAAGAGCTTCATGGACTTTTCCTGCTCAGGCTGGCTTTGAACTATGATCCTCAGATCTCAGCCTCCTGAGTAGCTAGGATGACAGGCGTGAGCCACTTGCACCTGGCATGTTTATTTATTTATTTTTGGTCAGTCGTGGGGCCTGAACTCAGGGTCTGGGCGCTGTCCAGCATTTCAGCTCAAGGATAGCTTAAGCCACAGCGCCACTTCCAGCTGTTTCTGTTTCTGTGGTGCTGAGGAATGGAACCCGGGGGCTCATGCATACGAGGCAAGCGCTCTACCACTGAGCCACCTTCCCAGCCCCGCATGTTTAATTTCTTATTGTTGGTTTCCTCGGCTTCTCTGACCCAGCCCGCAGCAGCTCTGGTCTACAGTCAGGGCACTAACAGATTCCTTCAGTCATTAAAAAGAGGCTGGTGGTTCAAGCCACTGAGAGAACTGAGATCCTGAGGATCACAGTCCACAGCCAGCCCAGGCCGAAGAGCCCTCTGGGGCCATCCCTCAACTAAGCAGGGCTGGAGGCATGGCTCAAGTGGTAGAGCACCCACGGTGAGCAAGACAGCATTGGTGAGGCCCTACATGAAAACCCTAGTCCTGCAGACAGGGACGGAGACAGAGCGGGGAAGGAGGAAGCGGAGGGGGAGGAGGCCGGGGCGGCTCACGTGCTCCGCGAAGCTGTTAACGATCACCAGGTGAGAGTAGCTCTCCTGGCAGAACTTGCGGGCCTCCTCCCAGGACGCGGTGGTTGAAGAGAAGAAGTAACACTTGTCCTCAAAGGGGAGCCAGCCGTCAGGACACGTGACCCGGCCACAGTCTAGAGATGCGCATGAGCACACGGTCAGCCGTGGACGCGGGCGCCACGGACAGTGCTCAACTCCAGAACACAGCGTTTGCACATCAGCGAGAACCACCCCCAGAGAGCCATGTGGTAGGCCAGCTCTGTCATCGCCTCCATTTCCAGGCAGCACCCCAAATTCCACTCACTCACCTACTAAGCCTCGAAGTTCCAGCAGGGCCTGGCTGGTGTCAGCTCTTACTCCATCCAAGTCCTTCTTCAATCCAGCCAGCCCCGCCATGCCAGTCACTGCCCGAGAAGAAGGGCTTAAGGGTTAAAAGCCTAGATTTATGGCCACTCCTAAAGCCACATTCTCAGGGCCCAGGGTTCCTAGACAGCTCAGAGGAGGCCTAGATCTCTGCACTGGGTCCAGAAAGGAGTGTGAAAGGAAGACCTGATTCCATCATCACAATATAGTTTTAACCAGGCATGGAAGTTCACGCCTGTAATCCCAGCTACCCAGGAAACCCAGATTCTAGGCTGGCCCTGGCTGGTTGTGAAACCCTATTGATCAACATACAAGCCAGGCGTGGGGGGGGCTGGGAAGGTGGCTCAGTGGTAGAGCGCTTGCCTTGCATGCATGAGGCCCTGGGTTCGATTCCTCAGCACCACATAAGCAAAAAGAAAAAAGCCAGAAGTAGCGCTGGCCAGGCATGGGGGCACACACCTGGCATCCTACCTACACAGGAAGCATAAGTAGAATCATAGTCCAAGTTTAAAAAAAAAAAAAAAGCAAGACTATATCTCAAAAAGTAACAATCTAGCCGGGCGCCAGTGGCTCACACCTGACATCCTAGCTACTCAGGGGGCTGAGATCTGAGGATCACGGTTCAAAGCCAAGCCAGGCAGGAAAGACTATGTGAGATTCTTTTTTTGTTTTTGTTTTGGGTCCAGTTGTGGGCCTGAACTCTGGGCCTGGGTGCTGTCCCTCAGCTCTTCAGCTCAAGGCTAGAGCTCTACCACTCGAGCCACAGCGCCACTTCTGACATTTTTTTTGCTTATGGGTGCTGAGGAATCGAACCCAAGGCCTCAAGCATGCAAGGCAAGCACTTTGCCACTGAGCCACCTTCCCAGCCCCTGTGTGAGATTCTTATCTCCAAATGACCACCAGAAAACCAAGAGTGGTGCTGTGGCAAAAGTGGCAGAGTGCTAGCCTTGAGCTGAAGAGCTGAGGAACAGTTCCCAGGCCCAGAGTTCAAGCCCCACGACCAACAGAAGAAAAAAAAAGTAACAATCTGTGCCAAGTGCCTGTAGCTCATGCCTGTAATCCCAGCTAGTAAGGAGGCTGAGATCTGAGGATCGCAGTTCAAAGCCAGTCCAGGCAGGAGAAGTCTGTGCAACGCTTATCTTCTAATGAACTACCAAAAAGTCAGAAGTGGAGCTGTGGCTCAGGTGGTAGAGCGCCAACCTTGAGCAAAAAAGCTCAGGGACGTGCCTAGGCCCTGAGTTTAAGGACCAGTACCAGCACACGCAGACACAGACACAGACACACAGACACACAGACACAGACACACAGTGTGAACCAAAAACAGCTGGGGAGTATGACTCAAGCGGTACAGGATGTGACTGTTGGGGGCGTGGCTCCGCGGTAAGGGGCGTGGCTTTGGCTGGAGGGGTGTGGCTGAACTAGTAGTATCTTTGTGATGGGGCGGGGCTTGGGGAGGGGCGTGGCTAACGCCGCTGATTGACTCAGTGATAGGGCTGGCTCTGCTGTGGGTGTGACCCCACATTAAGGGAGGGGTGTGGTTCAGCGGCTTGGGGCGTGGCTCCGGTGTGGGTGGGGCTCCAATGGATAGGCGAGGCCCATCCATCTAGGGGTGTGGTCCAGGGATAGCACGTGTGCCTAGCAATCACGTGACCTGAGTTGAAACCCCCAGTACCCCTCAAAACACAAGAAAAAAGAAAAAAATGCAAAAGGGCGCAGATATGCTACACTGAAACAGGTGTCTGAAACCCGTGTGCATTTCATACATAGGACACAACCCATTTTGCACAGGCCACCTATCAAGGCTGATGGCCGTCGTATTGGACAGCTGTGGTCCGACCTGCCCGTACGCATGCGCAGCATGCACATGCGCACATGAAGGAACGTGTGAGCCGCGCCCATCAGTATGGGCATGCGCAGAGAAGCACAGCCCGCTCCCGAAGCTCACACTCACCGTTGGCTCTCCACGCCAGCTGCTCCCAGGTCGCCCGCCGCAGGTCCTCCACCACCTCCTGGTCTGTGAGGACAAGGCCCGTTTGAGCCCCGCGTCCTCCCGGTGCCCGGCCTCAGTCTCCCCCGGGTCCCCGAGCTGGGCCTACTCACACTTGGTCAGGGTCAGGGCCAGCGCCAGGGCGCTCAGCAGCAGAGCCGCGGCCGCCAGCGCGCAGAGCAGCGCCGCCCGCCCCACCCGGGGCCGGCGCGGGCCGCGGGGCTCCGCCCCGATCCAGGGCACCGGAGTCGCGGGGCCTGGGGACCGGAAGAGAGCATGGATCCAGGGCCCACGTCGTGAGGGGGCCTGAGGACGGGCTGTGTGGCTGTCATGCCGCCTGCGACGATCAGCAGCGTGTGCTGGGGCTACCCATCGACTGGAAGGTGGGGGGCCTTGAACTCAGGCCTGGGCGCTGCCCCTGAGCTCTTTTGCTTAAGGCTGGCGCTCTACCCCTTGAGCCACAGCTCCACTTGTGGCTTTTTTGGTGGTTCATTGGAGATAAAGTCTCATGGACTTTGCTGTCCGGGCTGGCTTTGAACTGCAAGCCTCAGCTCTCAGCCTCCTGAGTGGCTGGGATGACAGGCGTGAGCCACCGGCGCCCGGCCAATCTCTTTTCTTTTTCTTTCTTGGTCAGGGAGATAGATTTAAATAAGCAAAACGGCGCCCGGAGTGTGGCTCAGCGGTGGGAGGCGCGGCCGGGGGCGTGGTTCTGTGTGGGCGTGGCTTCGAGGTGGGTGTGGCTCTGTGACAAGCCTGGCGGGGAGGAGGCACTGGGGGCGTGGCTTTAGGTGGGTGTGGCCTGTGGTCAGGGCGTGGCTGTGAACTAAGATGTGGCTCTGTGGTGGGTGTGGCCAGTGGTGGGCGTGGCTCCCGGTGGGCATAGCCTGGTGGCAGGCGTGGTCTCCTGATGGGCGTGGCCTGATGTGAGCTTGGCGATCTGAGGGGCGTGGTCGGCTGGTGGGCGTGGCTCCCTGCGGGGTGGGGCCTGCCGGTGGGCAGTGTGGCTCAGTGGTAGCCCTACCCTAACAGACTAAGTTCAGTGGGTTCCAACCCCAGCACCCTAAAAACAATGTGCCAATCCGACATTCCAGGGCTGAGCGGAGCTCCTTTCTACTCCAGCCCCCTGGCAAGGAAGGCCCGGGGGCAGAGGACATTTCCTGCGTTCTCTGCAAGCAGGAAATAGGGGTGGCGAGTCTGCAGGAAATCGGGTGTGGTGGTGCACGCCGGTGGTTCCCCCCCCCCCCAGGGCTGCAGGTTCCAGGCCACCCCCATCTCCCCAACAGCAAAGTCCCCAGAAAGACAGCTGGGCCCCGGGGGCTGGGCTCGGGAAAGCGCGGTTTCTGGAAGGAGAAGTTTCCCAGCTCACTCGGGAGCTACTGGCCTGAATCACCTCCTCTGGGCATGGACAGGGGGGACTGGGGGCCACCTGGGAGGCATGGCGACTCACGGGTCAGGGACGGCTGGAAGGGAGAAGGTTCCAGATCACCGCCTGGGAGCAAGGAGGACACACTGTTACAAGGTGCTAAATAATCGGGTGCCAGTGGCTCCCGCCTGTCATCCCAGCTACTCAGGAGGCTGAGATCTGAGGATCGCGGTTCAAAGACAGACTGGGGAAGGAAAGTCCATGAGACTCTGATCTCCAATGAACCGCCAGAAAACCGCCAGTGGCGCTGTGGCTCAAGCAGTAGAGCACTCACCTTGAGCTAAGGAGCTGAGGGACAGCGTTCAGGCCCAAAGTTCAAGCCCCATGACAGATCCCCAAAAAAGTGAGTGAGGCCCCCCTTCCCCCCTCAATCAACGAGCTAGGTATGTGGCAAGTGTGTGTAATTCCCGCTATGCAGCAGGCCTCCTTTAGAAGTATCTAAAATTGGCCTGGGCAAAAACTCCAAGATCTTAGCTCAGCCAGGGAACATGGACCTAGCAAGCACGAAGCTTGCTGAGTTCAAACCCCAGGACTGCCCCCCACTAATAATAATATGAATAAATGATGTGGGGATTGGAAGGAAGGTTCAGGATGCCCTCTGCTCACCTGACTGGCGAGATGGGCAGGAGACAGATGGAAGGTCCAGGGCTGGAAGGAACAAAGGCCATCATCATCATCATCATCATCATCATCATCGGAAGCATGGCTCTGGCTGGGGGAACGGGGGTACCCCAGCCTACAGCTCTTACCTGTCACCGCCAGGGCCTTGGGAGGAAGCGGGGGGTTCTCTGGGCTCTTTCCTGAGGAGGGGGAAGCGTCACTTAGCTCAGAGCCAAGAAAAACCAACCCTGGCTCCCACAACCCCCCCCCCCAGGCTCTGCTCACCTGCCCTCGGGGGTCTTGGCGGTGCCAGGACGCCTAAAGAGAAATTTAGAAAAGAGATGACAGAGCATTGTAGTGCATGCCTGTAATCCCAGCTGGGGGGGGGGGGGGGGAGGTAGAGGCAAGACAATCACCAGCCTGGGCTTCGTTAGTGAATCTCTGTCTCCGAAAATAAATAGGGCTGGGGTGCATAGCTCAATGGGTAGAGCACCTCTCTTGCAAGCACTGGGTGGAAACTGCAGTTGCTGCTAATAATACGCACCATGCCCGGCTTACTAGTTGAGATGAGGTAACACTTTTCCCTAGCTGGCACAAGGGTCAGTCCTCTTGATCCCCACCTGGCCCCCAGCTGGGACTGCAGGCATATAGGGACCACCGTGCCAAGCCATTGGTTGAGATGGAGTCTCTAGAACGATTACATCCAGGAAGGCCTGCAAACACCACTCCCTGATCTCTAGCTCCCAAGCAGCTGGAGCCCCAGGTTTGAGACCCTCACTCGCATCTCACCTGCTAGAAAGCAGGTCTGAGGCAAAGCCTAACTCTGCAGCCCAAGCCAACCTCAAACTTGTGATCCTCCTACCTCCGTCTCCACCGCGCTGGGATTACAGGCTTGAACCACCAAGCCAGGCCCCAATTTCCACTTTTATAAATACTTAGGGGACTCTTGGAGAATCCTGGGCCAAGTCTGAGGGAGGTCCCCCAAGTCCAGGCCTTGAGCTTTGGAGGAAAGAGGACAGTGGTTTACACCTGTAGTCCCAGCTACTCCAGAAGCCAACAGGAGGATCACTTGAGCCCAAGCGTTCAAGACCAACCTGGAGCAATATAGCCATACCCCACGTCTAAATAAGAGCAGAGCCATCTGAGTCCTGGGTGTAAAATTGCTTTCTGGCTCTGGGGCACAGATGCCACGCGGCGCTGTGGCTCCCACGCCCACCCCCAACCCCAGGTGTCTCTGAGGTTTCTCCTCCTCACACACTCCTACTCAGCCTTCAAAACCCCACTCCTCTGACCTCCACCCCCGCCCCCACCACTGCAGACAACTCTCCATTTCCTTTCCCCTCCTCTCTTTGTTCCTTCCCTGTAAACCCAGTTAGGGCCCCAGACCCCCACGGGTACAATGTGGCTCTCAGTTGCTCCTGTAGTCACGGTGTGACCGGCTCTGAGCACAGAGAACCATCCCCATGGGTTATTGCCCAGCCAGTGCGCCCCCCAACCCCACCCCGGCTGCCTCTGTTGCCCGGGAAAGCAGTGCCCTGACCTGGCTTGGGAGGAAGGTCCCTGTAGGGCGGAGTGGCGTTCTCATAATCTTCATCCTCATCCTCCATCATCCCTTCCAAAGAAAAAGCAAGTCAGACCGGGTGTCGTGGCTCACGCCTGTAATCCCAGCAACTCCAGATCTGCCGATCGCTGTGACAAATCCACGAGGCTCCGACCTCCAACGATTCACCAGAAAGCCAGAGGCGGCGCTGTGGCTCAAGGGGTAGAGCGCCAGCCTTGAGTGAAAAGAGCTCAGGGAGGGGCTGGCAAGGTGGCTCCGTGGTGGAGCGCTTGCCTCGCGTGCCTGAGGCCCTGGGTTCGAGTCCTCAGCACCCCAGAAGCAGAAAAAAAAGCCAGAAGTGGCGCTGTGGCTCAAGTGGCAGAGTGCTCGCCTTGAGCTGAAGAGCTGAGGGACAGCGCCCAGGCCCAGAGTTCAAGCCCCAGGACCGACCAAAAACAGAAACACAAGTCATCTCCCAGTCCCGACTCTCCCTCCGGCGCCCCGGCCTGGCCCCACCCCGGCGGGCGCCTGGCCAGCGCCAGGTGAGCACCTGTGGAGTCCCAGCGCTGGGTGTTGGAGTACCAGCTCTGCATGGCGGCCCCAGCGCAGCAGCCCACACCTGAGCGCGCGCCCGCCGGCCCTTCTGCCCGCCCCCCCCCCCCCCGCAGCCTCTCTCACTTCTCATTTCCTTGAGACGTGGAAGACATGCAAATCATCCTCGTGAGGAAGCGAGGAGCCCTCGCCCACACGACCAGGGTCCCTGTGAACACTGCTCCAAACCAGCCCCAGACAGCGGCAGAAAGCTGGGGAAAGGTCATCCCAGCTACAGAGGAAGGGTCAAAGTTCAAGGCCAGTCGGGACAAAATAAAGCGACCTCATCTCTAAAGACAAGCTGGGCAGGGTAGCTCACAGCTATAATCCCCGCTGTCCCCAGGAGATGAAGGTAGGAAGATGACAAGTCAAGTCAAGACCACCGCTGGGAAGAAGCAACACAGACAGAAGATGCCAGGGGCCAGGGCCGGGGCCAGGGACAGGAGCCAGGGGCCAGGGCCAGGGCCAGGGGCCAGGGGACAGGGGTCAGAGGCCAGGGACAGGGGTCAGGGCCAGGGGCCAGGGACAGGGGACAGGGGTCAGGGGCCAGGGACAGGGGACAGGGGCCAGGGCCAGGGGACGCGCAGACGGGGGACTGCGCAGACGGGGGATCGCAGTCGCTCCAGCACCTGAAAAACAAGCAAAAGCCATCCGAGCCTCCGCGTGCACACGTGTGCTTGTGTGCGCACGCGCGCAGGCCCCTGCGTAAGCGAGGCTGGCCTCCAGGCCCCAGCGCTGCCTCTCGCCTCACCCCTGCGTGCGGGGATGGCGGGCGGGCGGCCCCCGCTCGCTCCCCGCCTCCTCCCGCGTGGGTTGGGTGTCGTGTCCAGCGCTTCTCACCACCGGGCAGCTCCACGCCCAGCGGGCGTCCGTTGAGTGAATTAGTGACCGTCCTGCCCACGGAGCTGCGGCCAAGGTCAGCGCCAAGGTCATCCCCGCGGGCTCCCCCGCCCACACCGCTGGGGAGGGTCCCCGCCCTGGGGTGGGGTCCGGATGTTCCCCGGGGCTTTACCCGGCTCGGGCTTCTCACCCGGCAGACCGTGAAAGGCCCCGGGCGCCCTGCCCGCGCACCCAGGGGAGGAAGGGGGGCTGGGGACGGGGGGGGGGGGGGGGAGCAGGAAGCTCTCAGAGGACGGCTGCCTGGGCCTGGCTCTACCCCCACCCACGTGTGGCCTGATGCCCCCCCCCCTCCGCCAAGATCCTTGCCCGAGGGCGAGCATCCCAGGCTAGAATATCCGCATCTCAAGACCTGAAGAGAGCCCTTGGCGCACTCCTGTCATCCCAGCCACTGGAGAGGCCGCGCTCAGGAGGACCCAGGTTTGCGGCCAGCCAGGGGAAAAAGGGGATAAGACCCCCCATCTCAACCAATAAACAGGCCGGGTGGGACACGCCTGCCATCCCGGCACTCGGGAAATGAAAGTGAGATCCTACGCGACTAACGGGAGAAGCCAGGGCTGGGCTGTGGCGGGAGGCCCAGCAAGCGCCAGGCCCTGACTCCACCGACCCGATTGGTCCCTTCTTCTTGACCGACTCATTTATACAACACTCTGATTGGTCACTTCGGACTGGTCCCTCCTGTTTTTGCTATTCACTCAAGCGACCACCTGATTGGTCCCCTTTGCCCGCCCTATTGAACTCATACGACAATCTGATTGGTTGCTCGCCGCTCCTCCGGCGGCCCTCCCTGCTCGCCCCTGCGAAGGTGGGCTTGCTTTCTCCTGACCTCCCTGTCCATCCAGTCACGGGGACGAGTCTTTCCTCAACCCCTGGATTTGAATGCCTGAGGCCAGGGGACATTCTTTTTCACTTTCCTTTTTCTTTTTCCAGTCCTGGGGCTTGAACTCCGGGCCTGGGCGCTGACCCTGACCCGCTCTCTACCAAGCCAAGCGCTCTACCACTTGAGCCACAGCCGCACCCCAGCTTTTTCTGAGTAGCTAATGGTCGATGGGAGTCCGCGGCCCGCCCGGCGCCCCGAGGCCGCTCCGATCCCACAAGGCCGCGCGTGTCCCGCCTCCGCCCGGCCGCCGGGGGGCGCGCGAGCCCGGCCGGAAGCGCTCGGAGCGCGCGTCTCTGCGCTCCCCGCCGCGGTCACAGCAACCGGAAGCCACCGCGCGCGCAGCGGGGCGGGACTTCCGCGCGGGAGCGAGGTGACCCCGGTTGCTGCGGGGTTCGGCGGCGGAGCAGCCATGGGGGCGCACCTGGCCCGGCGCTACCTCAGCGATGGCTCGGGGGAGCCCGACCCCCTGAATATGCCCGTGTTTCCGCCCGACTACGGCCTCCCCGACCGCAAGGAGCGCGGTGAGGCTCAGGGCGCATGCGCGGGGCGAGAGGGCCCGGGCCCCCGGCCCCGGCGGCCCCGGGACTGGGGTCGGCTCCGAGCTCGGACGGGGGGTGTGGACGCAGGGGACCCTGCCTGGGGCGGCAGCCTTGCAGGGACAGGCCCGGGGGCCGGAGGGAAACCGAGGCCGCGGCGCGGGCGGCCGGGCCGCGGCGGCGGCGAGCGAGTGCTCCTCCCGGAGGGACGGCTCCTCCTCCCGGAGGGACGGCTCCGCCCCGCAAACGAACGCGCGGGAAGGCCGGGCCTTGCGCTTTGGGGTGTTGTGCTAAGCAAGCCCTGGGGCTGCGCCCCTGAATCCCCGCTGGAGTTTCTCGCTGTGGGACACCAACTGTGGGCCAAGTCCCAGCCCCGTAGCGTCCATCCCGCACCGAGCTCCCGGCCTCTCTGTCCTTCCTGAGCTTAAGCTAAAAACCCGGATCTCCCAGCCATCTGGAATGTTCTTTCCCATGTTCCCGTCCACCTCGCCCCCGGCCTGCTCATGCCACCCCTCCCATCGTTCTTTCCCTCAAGCCCTGCCTTTCCTCCACATTGTGCCCCTGGCTAGCTTGTGTCACCTTCCCCTTTCCACCGAGCACCGTGTGGGTGCCATGTGTGGCCGAGAGGAGGGAGGGCCCGAGGTCTGTAGAGGTGCGGTTTGGGTTTTGGGAGGACCTAGATGGGGGGGAGGGGGGGCTAGACTAGGTTCATCATAGGAGGGAATCACAGGAGACAGATCTGGGCAAGGGAAGCCTGTCCCGGGGTGGTGGGGGGTGGACACCCCAAGACGTGTCGGGCAAACCAGGCCCTGGTCTCACCGAATCACAGCCTGGACGCTGGTGACACGAACCAGCTCCAGGGCAGAACTGCGGCCTTTCCGGGAACACAGTTTGAGGTCTTTTTTTTTTGTTTTGTTTAGAGGGGAGGCTTTTTTGGGGGGGCGATCGTTTGTCAGAGTGTGTGATTGAGGTTTGACCTCAGGATGAGCATGAGGGAGGTTCTTTTGTACCAGTACTGAGGACTGGAATTGAGTGCTTGAACTGAGTGTGTATGCTCAAAGCTAACGCTCTACCACTTGAGCCACAGCTCCACTGCCAGCTTTTTCGTGGTTCATTGGAGCTAAGAGTCCCATGGACTTTTCCTGCCTGGGCCGACTTTGAACCGCCATCCTCAGATGTCAACCATCTTAGCAGCCGGGCTTACCGATGTGAGCCGCTGGTGCTGGGCTTAGGCTGTTGGTTTAGTTGCTGCTAGGTGGGTTTGATCGGGGCCCTGTGCTTGCTGAGCGGGTGCTGTGCCGGCGAGCCCCCTCCCCGCCCGGGGCTGAGCTTGCTTTGCCTTGCCGCCTGGGCAGGGAGCAGGGGAGGCTTGAGGGGCCCCGGGGCCCCGGTCACGGATTCAGGAATGGCGCCCCGCTCTAAGCACCCCAGTCAGCCTCGCGAAGGGGGAGGCCGGCGGCCAGGACTTAGCACGCGCGGGGGAGCGGATGGGGGGCAGCCGCGGTGCGGAGGGCCGTGGTGCGGAGGGCGGAGGGCGGCGGGGAGGGCGGCGGACGCTCAGCCCCGCCCCGCCCGCCCCTGCAGTGATGGTGGCCACGCAGCAGGAGATGAACGATGCGCAGCTGACCCTGGAGCAGCGCGACTACTGCGCCCACTACCTCATCCACCTGCTCAAGTGCAAGCGCGACAGCTTCCCCAACTTCCTGGCCTGCAAGCACGCGCAGCACGACTGGGACTACTGCGAGCACCAAGAGTGAGTCCCGGCCACGCCCACCGCTGGCCACGCCCCAGCCCCACCCACCCCGCTCCTTTCCAACCTGGCCTCTGCTCCGCCCACAGCAGGGAGGCGCCCTTCCCTGCTGGGCCCTGGGGGTCCGGCCACGCCCCCAGCCTGAGCCTCTTCTCTTCCCCCAGCTACGTGATGCGCATGAAGGAGTTCGAACGCGAGCGGCGGCTGCTGCAGCGCAAGCATCGGAGGGAACAGAGGGCGGCCAGAGTGGCCAAGGGCGAGGTGATCGGCGAGGTGGGCCCCGAGGTGGCCTTGTAGGGGCCGCTCCGCCCTGTGAGCCCGCCAGAAATAAACGCCTGCCTGCGGGCGCGCCTGGTCCTGAGTGCGTGGCTTACTGTGGGGAGGGGAGCATGGCCGGAGACAACACAGGAGGTCCAGTGGGGCGAGCAGGCAGTTTTATTCGGGGTGCGGGAGGGCAGGGCCGCCCAGGGACAGGGCTGGGCGCTATAACAGGAAGGGGATGATGGGCATGCGCAGGGGCGGGTAGTCCCGGAACTCCTTCAGGTAGCTGCGGTGCTTGCCCTTGGCCCAGATGGTCATCTGGGTGAAGCCCACCAGGGAAAAGAGAGCCACTGTGGGGTGGGATGCAGGTGTCAGGGCAGGCCCAGGAAGCGGGGGCAAGGTGGGGTGCTGGAGAGGGGAGGGGGGCGCTCACCTGGCACACACTGCGTCATGATGGCAAAGCCGATCCAGGACCCCACCTGTGGGCAGCTCAGGCCGGTGAGCGCTGCTGTCCTGTCCACACTCCCCCACAGAAGGCCCCACACGCCTCCCAGCCCAGGGTGGGGGAGACCAGGGCGCCCTCACCTCGTAGGTGTAGTTAGGGCAGGATACCAGCAGGAAGAGCCACGTGAAGGGGTTCTTGGTGGGGTATGGGATCTTCCTGGTCTTGGAACCTGGTGGGAGCCAGGGCGGAAGGTTGGAGCCGGCCCTCGGTCTGACCCCACCTCCCCGGCCCGCCCGCACCCGCACTCGCACTCACCCGCCGGCCGCAGGTCCCGCAGGGCCATGTGGATGGAGAAATTGCCAAGCTGGCAGATCTGCGAGGTGGAATGAGCTCAGCCCAGAGCCCTTCCCTCCTCCTGCAGCCCGCGCCCCTGCTCTGCCCGCGCCACAAGCCACCCCAGCCTCCTTACCACGAAGATGGCCAGTGCCAGCTTAACCTGCTGAGCGCCATAGGCTGCAGGGGAAGCACAGGGAGCCGTGAGAGCAGGCTGGCAGGGGGAGGGGCGCGGGGAGGGGCGCGATCCCTTCCCAGGACACTTACTGGGGGGCGTGTAGAGCGGGTGGTTGATGTAATACGCCATCCAGGCCGCGAAGCCCCAGTAGTAGGTGCAGTTCTAAACATGAACGAGCAGGGAGAGAC